TGAATCATGCCCAAAATACTTAAAAATATCTTTATTAGTATAAGCTCTACTATTCTGCATAAGCACTGCTGTGTTGGGGGCAAAAAAATCTTAATATTCAAGGATCTACAGGGACAAAATGAACAAGGGGCAAGTCTTTTTCGCTACCCTCTTAGAGATGTTCATTCCTTCACATTAAAACTACGGATCATGCCCGAAATAATAATTAATAAATCACTAGATTAGCATAAACTCTAATATCTTCTGCTGCGCGGGGCCAAAAAATCTTAATGTTCCAGGATCTGCAAAGACGATGAACAAGGAGGCAAATCTGTTCGCTTTTCTCTCAGAGGTCCCTTCCTCCACATATAACTCCAGTTTTACACATCATATTAGCCTCCTATATGCAGCCTGCAAACATGGCATGCTTCCAAATATTCACGTTTTCTACACTGGGACTTCGTTCAATCAAAATGCTGCATACAAACATAGATATCATGTTACGAAATGTTGACCCACCATAAGGTATAGAGCAGGAATCTATAATCTCAAAATATTTCAATTTGAAAACGAAAGTTTGATCTTCCCACACTTCATTTGAAAACAAGATATATTTGATCAATCAACAGATTGGTCCAATCAGTTTAACCACCCAACAAAAGAAATCAGTCATGAGGTTGCTAGTTGCTACAGCGCATAACTTTTTTTGTTGGTGGACAATATCATTTGTATCCTTAAATATGTCGTTTTGGGTACTCTCGCCTCGAAAAAGATACAAATATAATATCTTTTGATGGATGGAGAATAATGTTTATACCCTTTTTTAAGGCGAAGATACCTCGAGAAGACATATTTAATGGTTTTAACACTTATCTTATCAAGACCTGGAGAGACATTATGTACAAAACAGGTATCTTTCCTAAACACTCTGAAACTCGATATAATTTTTCTTTTTCAAATATTCATTCTGATCTTTGGGGACCAAGTCATGTCTCTTCATTTGGCTTCTGCTATTTTGTAGCCTTTATAGATGAATTGTTTAGATGTACTTGGATTTATTCAATGGAAGACTGATCTGAAATTTTGTCCATTTTTGTGTCCTTCAATGAAATTAAAAATCAATTTGAGAAGATAATTAAAGTTCTCAGAAGTGATAATGTCAAAGATTATTTTTCAACCTCTTTCTCTTCTTTTTTATCTTCCCAAGGCATTTTACATCAGTCAACTTGCCCTCACTCCACAGCAAAATGGTATTACAGAAAGGAAGAATATGCATCTTATTAAGACTGCACGCTCTCTAATATTGAATGTCAATATTCCTGTTCATCATTAAGGAGATGCAGTTCTGACTGCTTGCTTTCTGATTAATCGCATGTCATCTTCTTCTCTTCAAAATCAAATTCCTCATTCCCTTATCTTTCTAAATTATCCTCTTTATCATGTATCTCCTCGTGTATTTGGTTGTACCTGTTTTGTACATAATGTCTCTCTAAGTCTTGATAAGTTAAGTGCTAAAGTCATTAAATGTGTTTTTTTAGGGTACTCTCGTCTCTAAAAAGGGTACAAATGTATTATTCATCCATCAAAAAGTATTACATGTTTGTTGATGTCACCTTCTTTGAAGAAACACCCTTCTTTTCTTCCCTTATGGAGGATGATTCCTTTATTCAAAATATTTTTACTATACCCTCATGTGATCCACTTATAATACCTGATCCTTTATCAATTCAACCTACAGGTCTCAATGATTCTTCTCCTCTTCTTACATATCCATCAAAAGGTATTACATGTCTGTTGATGTCACCTTCTTTGAAGAAACACCCTTCTTTTCTTCCCTTATGGAGGATGATTCCTTTATTCAAAATATTTTTACTATACCCTCATGTGATCCACTTATAATACCTGATCCTTTATCAATTCAACCTACAGGTCTCAATGATTATTCTCCTCTTCTTACATATCACCGCAGGACCCCACCTACACCTTTACCAGATTCTGTAGATAATCGTGATTCACAACCTTCTCCATCAGCTTCTCATACCATGGATTCTTTGACCTCCTCTCCCACTTCTGATTCTGAATGACCTATTGCACTCAAAAATGGTATTTGTTCCTTTCGGAATCCCTTTCTTATGTATAACTTTTTAAGTTACCATCTTTTGTCTCCTTCCTATTCCTCTTTTGTTGTGTCTTTGGCTGACACCACTATTTCTAATAGTGTCCATGAGGCTCTTGCTCAACATGGATGACGACAAACCATGATTAATGAAATACAGACTCTTGAGCATAATGACACTTGAGAGTGTGTCCCTCTTCCTCCTGGCAAAAAGATTGTGTTGTAGGTGGGTCTATGCAGTTAAAGTTGATAACAATGGTAAAGTGGATCGTCTTAAAGCTCGTCTAGTAGTAAAAGCTACACTAAAATTTATGGCATCGACTTCTATGATACCTTCTCTCCAGTAGCTAAGATTTCCACTATTCGTCTTTTCTTTGCTATGGCTACTATTTGTCATTGGTCCCTTCACTAACTGAATATTAAAAATATCTTTCTTCATGGTGACCTTGAGGAAGAGATTTTTTGTTGCTCAGGGGGAGTCTGGTTTAGTGAGCAAGCTACACCAATTTCTTTATGGCTTGAAGCAGTCACCTCGAGTTTGATTTGAGAAATTTAGTCATGTTGTATAGTTGTTTGGCTTAAAAGGGAGTGAAGTATAGCACTCAATGTTTTATTGTCATTCCTCTTCAAGCAAGTGTGTGTATCTTATGGTTTATGTTGATGGTATTGTTATTATAGGCAATGATTATACTAAGATCAGTCAACTAAAGAACCATCTATTTGCTCACTTCCAAACCAAATATCTTGGTCAATTGAAATATTTCCTTGGTATTGAAGTGACTCAGTCAAAGAAAGGTGCGATCATCTCTCAAAGGAAATATGTTCTTGATATTCTGAAGGAGACAGGTTTAACAAATTGTAAATTCATTAATACCCCAATGGACCCTAATCAAAAATTGGTGGGAGATAAAGGAGAGAAGTTGTCAGACCTAGACCTAGAAAGAAACAGGAGGTTGGTTGGTTGGTAAACTCATTTATGTTAATATTACCCGACCTCATTTATCTTACTATTACCTGACCTCATTTATCTTACTATTACCTGACCTCATTTATCTTACTATTACCTGACCTAATCTTACTTATGCAGTTGGAGTAGTTAGCCAATTTATGCAAAATCCTTGTACTGATCATTGAGATGCCTTGATTCGCATTCTGAGATATATTAAAGGGACCCCAAGACAAGGATCGTTATATGAAAATAAGGGTAATACTCAAATTCTAGGTTATTGTGATACAAATTGGGTTGGTTGTCCCATTGATAGAAGATTTACTACTAAGTATTGTATCTTTATTGGAGGGAATTTGATTTTTTGGAAGAGTAAAAAACAAAGTGTTGTTGCTTAATCTAGTGCAAAAGCTAAATATAGATCTATGACACTTTCTACATACATGTGAGCTAGTGTGGATCAAATAACTCCTTCAAAAATTAAAATTTTGTGATAATGGACAGACGGAGTTATTTTGTGATAATGGCCAGATGAAGTTATTTTGTGATAATCAGGCAGCTCTCCATATTGCCTCCAACCTAGTCTTTCATGAAAGAACAAAGCATATCAAGATTGATTATCACTTTGTTAAAGAAAAGTTAGTATCTAAGGAACTTGTAACTGAATTTGTAAGCTCCAATGAACAACTGACGGACATTTTAACTAAATCCCTGAGAAGTCCTAAGATTCAGTTCATTTGTTCCAAATTTGGTACATACAATCTATATGCTCCAGTTTGAGGGGAAGTGTTGAGACATGTTATTTTTTTTATCTTTTTGTATTCTCTGTGTATGTTTCTTAGAATAGGGTTAAGGGTTTCGACTGAGGCCCATATCCTCTCTGTTGTATCTTCTTTTATCTATAAATATAATGTAACAGTGCCTTTAAACACTATATTGAAACCCTAAATAACTTTTTTAAGTCCTTTCAAGAAGTGAATAATGATTTGCCTATCACTAACTAGTTCAGTAACGCTGGCCCTAGCCTAGACAAGGTTTGCCAAGTATGTTCTTAAAATTTTCGGGAATGCAGGTGTAATATCTTCATCATCAAGCTGATTTAAGAAAAATATGGATGGGCAGTCAGAGTCAAAACGGTGAACTTACTAATAGGTTATCTAGGAAGTCAAATTTAATTACATGATGGCTCTAATTAGCTGAGAAGGTAACAGGGCAATACAAAGCTCACAATTTGACAATATTAACTACCCTACTTTTGAAGCTGAATGCAAATAAATGAAATTTGTTCAAATTAGTATTGAACTTGTAAAATATGAATTATAAATTCTAGTATGCAGTGTCAACACAAGTGACTACACTTGGTTCCTCCTGCCATTCCAACATTAAACAAGTACTCTAAAAATACATGCAGGCACGCAATTATACTTAGCAGTTTAACCAGCAACTTTGATCCTTTCACATTTCTATAGCAAATGATCAAGAACAATTTGACTGTAATCATACCATAGAAATAGAAGACTTGGCAACATGATACCAAAGCAGAAGCATTCCAAATTGTGGTTACAGCAATTCAACGTATAACACACAGTAAATGTAAAATCCTCGTGATTAAAATTAAAAATGGAAATCCTGTTAGTGCACATGTAAACACTGGAATCCAGTAAAGATTTGCGTATAACTTAGCACTGATAAAAATGCACGTAGAATGGATTAATTTTTATGGGGCAAGCATTGATAATCAATTAAAGAGCTTAAGAACATCAATGAAAATTTCAAATATACCTAAATTAATTAGTAAAGCATAAACTAGTTGCTCAAGAAATGTCTTATTATGCTAGCTACAAAAGCTCTGATCCAACAGTTATACACAGTTGAAGGCTTGGGAGCTAAGCTGGAGTACAAAAACGTTCTCTACACAATATTGACTTTGTAAATGCTTACTTGTTTCACTAAAATTCTTCACATGCAAGCAGAAAAGTCCTTTGGTGGTTCAATCCATATGTTCTCAAAAGGGTCTTGTTCTCCCCAGTCATGACACTGTTTACGGGGATAGTATCTATAATCATCAAGAGAGAATGATATGCAACGCTTTCCATAGAAACGAACTTTAGAGAAGTAGACATTGTTCCTCATTATTCCAATGAGGTCGGTCCTGGAATGAGATGACAAAAAACTAGCAAAAAGAGTTACTCCATCTAGAGTTGTCATCTCTTCCCATTTCATTAATGTCTGATCTAACTTAAAAATAATGGGGTTTCCACTACAGCATGTATAAATTACTAATATATCTCCTTCATGCTCTGTCATAAATTTCCCCTTCCACCAGTTTTTGGCAAAAAAATTCTCTGGGCATTTGGGTGGAGGTACTGCCAGAACACTCCAAATACATTCAACCGGGTCAAACACCCCAAGCCAACCTGTGAGGCTCAGACAATAAAATAACCCGTTACAAAACACAAGCTTATTCCAAATACTACTGACAAAGGGCAAGCGGTTTGGGTGATTAACAGTGGTCCATTCTGTTGCCCCAGGATAACAAGTGCTAATAGCCACAACAAGAGGACTAACATGCTTAACAGTGAATAGAACACAGCCAGGTGTTGTTGGAGCACAAGAAAAGGCAACAATTTGGTATGTCATCTCAAATCTTGGCAGTTTTATCAGCTCCCGTGTAAAGGGATTAAAGAAGAATACTCGGTGAGTTCTGGGCCGGTATAGTAATAACCAACCATCTTTTGTATAACAAACTCTGGATCCATTCAACTCTGGCAACTCAAGGGTGTAGGTCTTACGCTGCACAGGATCATAAAATTCATAACAGTCACCAAATTTCGGAAAATACATAAGCCACGGTGATTGGTTTACTACACGTACATCACTGGCAACAGAATGCCATCTCTTGCAAACAGAAGAAGCGCGGATGTTATCCGCTAGGATCAACCGAGACAAGATTAATTCTAAGAGTTCAGCAGGGAGATCAGCCCAGGATTGCAGCTCTAAATTTTCACTTTTCACCTCATCAACTGCTCTTCTATTATCTGTGATTGTGTCGCTTAGCCTGAAAGTATTAGCAATAAGCATACAAGATAAAAGTCAAACAACTTAAACAAATAAACTTACGATGCAACAAGCAGGAATAAAGAGACAGGATTTTGAAAGTATAAACAGTTTTCCATCCTAGCAAAGAAGTATACCAATCTATCTTTAAACAGTTTAGGGAAATTTCGAATGAAGACCAGTTTTCCATCCTAACAAAGAAGTATACCAATCTATCTTTAAACAGTTTAGGGAAATTTCAAATGAAGAACAGTTTTCCATCCCAACAAAGATGTATACTAATCTATCTTTAAACAGTTTATGGAAATTTCAAATAAAGAACAAAATAAATGTTTAAACAGAACAATGGCATAGACATTCAGCCTACTTGTATATTTTATCAAATTTTGTAAAGTTATCTGAGGTACATAAATTTGGGGGCTTATGTAATGGCAAGTATACAATATATCATACTGCCACCATTAAAGATCAACAGGAGCATTCCACAGCCCTCAACCCCAGAAACGGTAATTCATAGAGCCAGTCACGATGAACCAATAACAGCCCCAAGGGACCGGAGAACGTATCAATAGCAAACTTCAGATACAGGCAATAAGTGGAAATGAAACATGAAAATTCTATTAAATTGGAAATAAGAAAACATACAAGTGGAAATTATCACTTGAAATAAATACTGATCCGATCCACAAACCCTAGCAAACATTGTCGATTACAAACCAAGTAAATTAGGGCTACACAACTCTTTTTTTTTTTCTCTAATAATAAAAAATGAACATAAGAAAACCAACACATCCTGCAAAACCGTACTGATCCGGCATTGAAACCGTGTGGAAATGCTTCATGTCCCTATAAACTATGAAAATTAATATATAAAAATAATAATAATAATAATAATAATAATAAGAGAGGGAAATAAACAGAGATGCAAAGTTAAAATTGGGAGAAAGGATGAACAAAACTTACAATTTCAACTTCCTCTTTCTCTTCCCCGACATTTCCCCAAATGAACGATGTTGAGTTTCAGAGAGAGAGAGAGAGAGTATGAAGTTGCGTTCCAGAGAGAGAAAGAGAAGATGAAGTTGCTTGCTACTCTACACAACTGCACAAAAAAGGTTAAGAGCACATGAACAACACGTGTGAGTGACTCACACAGTTACAAATAATACTCTGCAAACACTTCCATGCCCACCGCTACAACCATTAAAGATCGCTTGATTGATCGTGACACGTCGACATCGAGTGGTGTGTGTTTGCTCAGTGGTTCGTCTCCCATGCTTCTAGTTACATTATAAGACTTTGTTCACTCTGGTCAAAGTCAAATATATGTTTTTTAAATTTTATTTTTTAATTCCTCTTTCTCATTTTTTTTTTCTAAAATTTTCTTATACTCAACTTATCACACCTAATTATTTGTAAATATATTATTGATTTGATTTGACAGTAAAAAAATTATAATCTTTTAAAACATATATTTGTTGACTCATGATTTAATAACAAAATTTGGTTATTGAAAAAATCTATTTAGAAACTATAGGAAAGTGTTAGCTATTTAGATAGCTTATCTTGAACTTTGTCAATTTTGTTTGCTTAGGAAAAACTGATTTTAACATTCTCTGAACATAATAATAACGATCGTTACTTTATTTTCTTGTTTCAAAATTTTGAATTCAATTATCAATTATGATTGGTAAAAAGTAAATTATCAAAATATTTAAAATAGTTGTGTATTGAAATTTGAATTAAAAATTACTGTAAATTAAAATACGTATAAATAAGTTGAATTTATTATTTGTATACTTTTATACTTAACTTTTTAATTATATCAATGGTTTAGTATATAAAATTTCTGATGGAGTTTGAAGTCAATTCTATAGGATCTTAAATTTAAGTCTTATTAATTTACCAAAACTTAGATAAGATGTATCCAACAAAAGTGAAAATATAGACATTCACTTGTGGTTCTCCTTTATTTTAAAAATCAAACAAATTTAATTTATATTAATTTTCTATTAAAGTCGTCAAATTCTTTTTTCTATTCAATACTTGCAATTTCAACTAATTAAATTATTTTAAACCTTTACAGAAAGCTCATATGCTCAAATATTAAATTTTATTTACAATGAAAATCCGAAATCTCCTCAACTCCTGTCTCATTTTATAAAATCCTTTCTACTTTATCAAAATTTTACAATTTTCTAGCTTACAAATTATATATAATCTCTTCAATACTTGGAATATAAAAATTTAAAGACGGTAAGAAGAAAAAAGATTAAACCAAAATTTGAGTTATTGTATAATTAGAAAAAAATTAAGAAAATTTATTCTTAATTAATCCAAAAAAAACTGAGATTACTCTATAAACTATGAATTTCCTAAACCGTAAATCCTAAAAAGATTGCAGCATTGCATATCCTTCTATGTCAAGGCCCATATTCATGTTTTATTGATTTTGCAACTCCTTTCCCTCGTTTGCGTCTTTTTTTTTTTTTTTTTTTCTTTATTTCTTCTTTATTTCGAAAGGAATCCTTGAAATGAATGTAGAGAAGTACTATTTTCTTGCGATAAAATATTGCTTACAGTCTCACGTTGCACCCACTAATTCTAAACTTCGTTCTAAATTCTATTTCTCTTGAAACGATGGTAAGAATCGTGAATAAATAATTCATAGAAATTGCAAGCTAAACATCTGAACCAAACCACCTACTTCATAATATTTCACGAAACACTGTAGTATTTTTAGAATTTGATAACAAAAAAATTGATGAACAACATAAATAAAATTATATGAAACCTGAGGTAAATGCCTTCAAAGTATGTATAGTAATGGTATAAAAATCACAACTTCATTCACGGCAGCGCCCTTTGTCATAATCGGTTGGGCTCCGTGCTTAGAGTCGTCAACAATTTAAGCCTCAGATGTAATAGTTCAATTGCTGTCGGACCACAAAATAGCATATCAGAAAAATCCCGTTTCATAAATTATCCATCATGCAGAAATAAATTATCCAGTATGAATTTCAACAAATATACATGAATCGAATTATAATTTCACTATTTGTTCTCCACAATTTATCTGTTCAGCCACAAAGCTAATTCAGAAATGATGGAGGTAAATCACTAACGAGTAGGAACAAACCTCAACTTCCTAGCTCCTTCAAGTCCACTCAGTAGGGATGATATCGGTCATGCCCACGATAGCGGTTATCATTGCTGCGCTTCCCACCACTAGCGTCACCACTCCGAATATGTCGGGATCCTGTAATTGGAGTAGGCTGTTGAAACCCTGGTCTTTGCCTATACGTAGCACAGAAAAAAGCAAAAAAACAATCAGATATAAATGTTTGCCGATAGTTAATGGCTAAGTATGTGGAAAAGCTAACATGTTATCATGCATAAGTAGAAATGATGGGTTGAACATCTAAATTAGATAAATCATGATGACACTCACAATACATATCCAATCCTTCCATCTGGTAAAAGCATTGGCATCATTGGCATGCCCGGAGAAGTTGGTCCAGGACCATACAACAGTGACTGCACATTTAAGGACATCAAAAATTGGTTAGGTACATGGAGCCATACACACCAAGTATCTGCACTGTAACTTAAAAAGAGCAGAGAGGAGCGCATTTCATTCTTTAAATGTAACTCTTGATTAAAAGATAGAGAGAAAAGAGAGTGGACAGAGTTAAACTGGGTTCAGCAGTTACAATTTTCCATGAATCAATTGTTCAAATCATATTAATCACACAACAATTAGATTAATGTCAATAACAATATCTATTATCAATCACAAGTTGGTATGTGCGTTGATATCTATGTTACCTATATTATCAACTAAAAGTTGGGGATCATTTAATGCAAGTGAAATTACGTGGGACTGTTCAAGGCATTAATCATCAGAGATGATAACTTTTTCCATGCTCTACAATTAGTAAAGTGCAACTCACTCCTGTGACCTCTCAAGGTGAGACACACGGTTGCTAGTGTGTTCAACCTCTAACCCGTAGTTCTTTTTTCTTTTTCAAAATACTGCAAGACTAGTCAACCAGTCGAAGAGCAACTTACTTGTGCAAAGCCAGCAGCACCATATCCTGCACCATAAGCACCACCAACCATACCATAACCAAGATGAGATGGAAAAGTGGGAAGTGAAGTTGACTTTTGTGGATTTGCTGCCCCAGATGACTTCTGATCTGCTTGTGGTTTCGCAAGTGAACACTCCAATATTTGTCCTGTCCGTCCCAAAGAAGACATCGCTTACTATTTGTAACAGTCCAGTCCACTAAAATATTGGAAAACAGGTATCATTAAGGGAAAAATTAAAACTACCATCAATTTCATATTTCTCTGTGTTCTCCAATGCCTTCATGGCACTTGACCTTTCAGCAAAGTGCACAAAACCATATCTGCTCTTTTCGAGGCCGGCTTTAGCAGAAGGGAGAACCACTTTTGTGATTTTTCCATGGCGTTCAAACAGCTCCTTAAGATGATCCTGAGTAATGTTTCCTGGAAGGTTCTTTACATACAATGCTTTTACCTGTAACAAGCACCAAGTGTCAATTATACAACTTTCTATAAAGCATAACTAAAATATAACAAGTACTTCATGAGGAAAACCACAGGAAAGTTAACCCTATTCTCACAACAGGTGCACAGACGATATAACATGAAACATGATAACAAAAGATACAGGAATATAATCCCAAGAACAGCCCAATAATATGACAGATGAAGTCTTTGCTTTCAAGTCTTCCCAATATATTGTGCTCGCTAATATTTTTTTAAAACTAAAAAACTCAGTGATTAATTGATGAATAACAATATTTTATTAGGAGTAACTAACTACAAATGTTTTAAAAAAGGTCTTACGTATTATAAGTCTCCCTTTTCATTTAAAAAAGTACAATCTGTTCATTAATGAATAAACAGCAATATATTATAACCCAGATCACAAAGCAGAGATGCATGAAGCAACATTGCATCAAGAAGAAAAAAAAAGGAGAATCCAAATTTTGAACAAGTTTTTTTTTTTCATTTTTTGTGCATTGAGCTGTTAAAAACAAATTGGATAAGTTGGGCCACTTTTGCCCTTAGCTTTAATATCAATTTGCAGTTAATATTTTACCAAAGTAAACAGTAGCACCAACCACAAAGTTTGAAAAATGCGACACTAAGTATTATGCATGGTTCTGGAAAGGCTGTCTTACCATTTAATTACTAGGTTTGCCTGACAAGGCAGCCCATGTGTCAGAGATCTGGAAAATTAGATTCCATGTTTTATTATAAGAAGTACCACGAATATTTGAGACTTAAATCTAAAAAATCCAAGTTGAGGTTAAATCTAAACAACCCTGCTCAATCTTCATCAATGCCAAGTGATGCATATTGTAAAGTTAAGCAGATGAAGGTGTCCTGCAATAATCAAGTAACTCTTCATATTTCCTACAACCAATGCTTCATGAGAGAACCAAATATATAGAGATTGATTGTCATAATAGGAGAACTTGTTGTCCAAGGCACTTAGTACTGAATTTATCAGTTCTAATCACCAGCTTAGAGACATTCTAAGTAAGTCTTTGAGAAGACCTAGAATTCAGGTTATATGTTCCAAGCTCCATACAATTTATATGCCCCAGCTTGATGAAGGAATGCTAAAATAGATGTTTATTATTTGTTGTACAGCTTCAATAAAGCTGCTTTTCATCTAACTTAAGGGATAAGGGTCATAGGCTGTAGCCTTTTTCCTTTGACTGTACTTTTCTCACCTTTTTGACACACACACACACACACACACACATAATTCGTCAACTGAGGAAAACCCACTGTTTTTTGCCATCTTTTAAATTCAAGCGTACAATAGGTTTATAAATGAGACTATTCAAGGTGAAAGTGTTTTACCAGTGGTAAAAATACAGAAATATAACTGTAGGGTGATCAGAAAGTACATACAAAAAAATGTATCAATATTAATCAGTTGAAAGCATGAAGGAACAAATGGTGTATATGGTCCATATTTTGATTAATCACGGAGAGAAAAGAAAAGGCATTACAAACTTATAAATAGGAGTAGCATCAACTAATAAACATTCCCATTGGTTTCATATGAATAAAGTCTTCCATGTTTATTTGCATATTGTTGCCATTTGAATAGTATTTGATACATCAAATCTTGTTCATAAAATATGAGCCATCATTCAAATAGTTGCATTGTGCTATATAATATAAACTACAGCCATGTAAATGTATCAACAACTATGATCTAGATTTGCATCTCAAGCATAAAATATAGCCACACCACACGTAATTTTTTCATCAGTATTTTAAGGGAACTTATTCATAAACTTAATTATATAATAATCACCTGAGAGTTTGCAGATGATTCATAATTCCTTGGATCAGCCCAACTCACTGTTGGAGCATTACTGTCAAGTTTAAAGTTTGAGTTTGACATTTTCTGCTTAGAATATTCTGCACAAGCATTATTGTAATACTCAATAAAAGCAAATCCCCGATTTCGGCCAGAACATTGTGGGTCCTGTAACAATGAATCAGTTTGCCAGGTCAGAAATTACACATTATGCAACCCACACTTAAAAGATTTGGTAACAAGAACAAACTTTAAACAGGAAGAAACACATTGAAATCAAAACATATGACATAATAGAAATAATGTCAAACAAACCTTCAAGAGTTCCACAGATATGACTCCAGGGCCAACCTCTGCAACAATTTTCTTCATATTTTCTTCAGTCCATTTTCTGGGAACATTACCAATGAACAACCTGTGTTTAGCTTGAGATGTTGAGCACTTTATTCTTTTTCCCTGGAAACTCAGCATAAAGAAGTCACTTCATTCAGATAACAGTAATACAGGCTAGGGTGGCCAACTAAATATATAGGATATAGAATATTTTAAAATTAAAAGATAGCAGGAAAAATCAGGATGCTGGAGTACTAATCAATGAACAAGATAACAACTATAGATTAGACAAAAGGAAACAATAACTAGTGCACCAAAATACCTTGAATTCTGAATTGTTCAGCTCCTCGATAGCCTTAGATGCCAATTCCTTTGTCTTGAAGGTCACGAAAGCATAACCTTTTGAATCACTGGATTCTTTTCCCTTCATTATCCTAACCTGTATAAATTTGATCAGCTTATGACTATGTAAAAAGAGAAAATAAAATAAAATAATGGAATTTCATGTATCTTACCTCCCAAACTTCTCCCACAGATTGACAAAATACCTTCAAATCTTCTTCAGAAACATTTTGAGGAATGCCCCCAATGTAAACCTCAGATCCATGGGGTGGAAGCGCAAGAAGCTCAGCTTGTTTTTTGTTCTTAACTTCATCCTTAGTGTCTACCACTCTTGTCTCATCTTCACCATCCCGGGGCTTAGTCTCTTCTTCTTCTTCCTCCTCCTCCTCTTCGTCTTCCTCTTCCACTTCTTCCTCCTCTTCTACTTCTTCATACTCAACTTCTTCTTCCTCCATTGTCTCCTCTTGATCATTTTCCCCATCAAAGTCTACTTGCTCATCAGAATCTGCTGGTTTCTCAGGCTCACTGTTTTCCTCTGGTGACTCTGGATTTTTTATCATTTCATCTCTCTGCCCTGTCCCAGGCATTTTTTTGCATCTAGAAAAGCAAACTCGCAGGGGAACTGTGAAGGAAGCACAGATGCCAGAAGCATTGAAGAGAGATTGCAAATATGGTAAGGGGGAAACAATGAGAGGCCAATTGGAATATCAGAGAAAGAATTTTGATTGAAACTGTTCCATGAGGTATGGACCAAGGAGTAGCAATATGGTAGATTTAATCTAGGGATCATTGTAACATAGCAACAAAAGTAACAGAGATAGGCAAGAAAGAACTCTGAACGAAAAATCAAGAGGATAACAATGCTCAACAGGGCAATCAAAGACAAAAAAAATCTGCGGACAAATGAATTTCAGAATTTCTGGATACTTAGATGCCGAAAGTTGCCCAGAAAATAGAGGCCAGTTTAATTGTTTTACTATTTGTAGGAGGACAATGCATACAGAACAAGGAGGGAAAGGAACAAAAGTAAGAAATAAGAATCTGCAGTACATATAAATAAGCAAAAAGTGTTTTACATAACAGAGTGAGAAAAAAAAAAAAAGAGAGAGAGTAAAGAACAGCATATTCTACTCCAATGTCCTCCCTACAAAATTGGGTTTAATTGGAGAGTAATAAATGTCCTTTTATCTCAGAACTTTTGAGAAATAAAAGCAATGCTACTGCTCCCTAAGAAACATAGAGCTTTCACAGTGAAATTTCACATGAGAATGTGCTATCTAAGAATCATAATTCTACCGAGTGGTTCCCATTGAACAATTTGCTACATAGAATAGCCTAGCTAATCTTATGGAGTGTCAAGAAACCAAACGGAATATGATTCTTTTATTTCCTTCACTAGATTATGAGATAAAAAAAAAAGTGAAGCCATGCAATTTTGTGGATTATCAAAAACTACAGCAAGAGGAGAGAAAGTACCAAATTGCTCGGAGGTCGAAATCAAAATCGAAATACAAGCTGCAAAGTCGTTACGTTCAAAACCCTAGTCCTGCGCGCGCACCTTATACTAACGAAGATATTGTGGCGAAATTCACTGTTGCTCGATGGTGCACAGAGGGATTTTATCTTGGGCCTTTGGACCGGGCCTTCAAAATGACCCTCATCTACCACTTTTTAAATATATATATATATATATATATATATATATATATATATATATATATATTATTTTTATCTACAAATACATCCAAAATTTGATTAATTCAAATTGAACCTATGATCACCAAGGCTTTCTTTGGTTGGGTGAGAAAAATAAAAGATGAAAAAAAATGAAAATTTAATGAAAAATAAATAAAAATTAACTATTCTTTCATTTTGTCTTTTCTTTGTAGTTTGTTTTTAATCAAACTAACGAAAGTATATCGTTATTCAGGTTTTCTTTCCTTTTTATTTTCTTTTCAATTACACAAACATACCATAAAGATGATGTTACCCTCTGTTTTCATGTGTAACGAGGAGTGTTAATGTCATATTATCTACATGTTTTTATGATTGATTAAAAATTATAATTTTACAAATAATACTTATTAAATAAAAGATAAAATCTAAAAAATAATGTTCTTTTAATAAATTTCAATTACAATAAATTAAAAAAAAATTAGAGAGGATTAACGGAGATGTTTTGGCTAGAGATTTAAAAAAACACTCATTAGTTGTTTTTCTTTCTAAAAATCGTTTATTTTGGAATTTATTTTCATTTTAAAATGTTGTGTTTTTGTGCATACTGTTTAATTTACTTGAATTTAACCAATAGTGGAAAAATTTGTCTCGTGGAACAAAGTACCCATATTTCTTCCTTTAGCAATAATATAACATGAATATCAAATGAACGTTTTTAGATACAATAGCACCCATATTTCTTGATTTAACAATAATAGTTTAATTTATCATTCAAGTTCAACTGAAAATAACCACGCGTGCATCATTGTATCATTGTAGAATCTATTAGTTTACTAAACAACATTTTACAACTTCCTAATAGTTTTTTCTTCACATTTCATCAATCTGCAAACTAGGTTTAGTCCTTGGACAGTGTCTTTACATCCGCAAATAGGCATATCAGAACAATGCAGTTGCATGTCGAAAGGGATGTTAAGGAGGTTTTATTATAATGAAAAGGAATGTGAATTGTCTTATACATGTTTCACATACTCTTCAGTGAACAGAATCTGATGTAAAATGCTAGGCTGGATAGCCTTGAGAGCTTGAAAAAATTCAGAGATTCACAACCAATAGAAAAAGTAAATCAAATATGGGCTAATCATAAAAAATGACGAGACTGATTAGTGTTTTAAAACCAAATACGATATCCGTTTTACATGATTCAAATGATAAAGATCATCAGAGTTTAATTATAATCAGTAAAACTATGTCCCAATAGAACTCAATAAATGTTTAAACATTGCTACTAGCTAAACCACTAGCATTGGACCAGTTCTGAAGGGCGTGGGTAGTTTTATACATAAGATCAAACCTCATTGTCACATTTAGATCAGAATAAAAATGAAAAAATTATTGCCAACACAATGGTTATGTCTCCTAGTGTTCAATATGTAGAGAGAATCCTTCATATAATCAGATAAGCTTATTATAACTCACAGGAACAGCTGTTTAAGTTCTCCATTTGCAAGCTGACAAAGCTTGTTGTAGCTGAACATATCTGCCAACAAGTGAAAACATACATCAGAACCATAGCTTCATAAACTTGGGAATATCACTAAAATTAATCACAGTGACAGTTAATAAAAACTATTCCGTATCTTCAGCAATATATCTCAAAATCAATTCGGGGAATGCCAAGGAAAAACAATACCAATGGAATCGCCAAAATTGGTCCATATCTCAGCACCAATTGACTTATCACTGTTTACAATACCAAAAACTTCCACAAAAGTTGTAAGAGGAGCAGGGGGTGATCCTTTTACAACTAGCTGTTTCTCATCTGTTGATTTTCCAATGACAACTCCACCATCAGATCGCACAACCTGCATCAGGGCCCTTACCCTCCTTCCAATATAAAAGTGCAATAGTTCTGCATTGACAAAGGCTGCAGGATTTGACAAGTCCATATTCTGCACAAAACACAAAAAGATAACATGATTCAAATATATAAAAGAAAACATCCACCCAACAATTGAACAAGACTTGCTGGCAAGAAAAAGTTGTCTTCTTTAATTTGTTTGATGAAACAACTGGCTCTCATTTACACATATCTTCTCATTACTTGCTCTGGTTGAATTTTCAAATATCCCTTTCACTATCTACAATTGTTGTTTATTAATGCTACCAAAAGGAGTATTTCTGGACCTGTAATTTTAAGTCATATAATCAGACTAGATCACTAATACTATTGCAATTGACCAGTCCCCATAAACTTTAAATAGCTGGGGCTTTCTAACACAGGCAGCATCCTAATAATTTGAGGTTACATGAGCAACGGCAATTTTACTGATGAACAGCTAAGAAAAAACTAATCTTTCTCTAAATGGCAAAAGGTTTCATAATTACAAAAAACGGCATCATATTAGAAAGGATCATGGTTAATAATAAGCTACAATGCAAGCAGAATCAGTGAAAATACTCGGTCTGGGGAGTTTAGTAGTTTCGTATTGGGACTATGCATTGGGACTATGTTTAGTAGGGGTGTAAAAAAACAGTTTGAACCAAACCGGTTCAGGACTAAAATGAACTGAATCGATTTGGAACCGACATTGTAAAGGTTTTGTATACTGTCATCGAACTTCGATAATAAAACTTAGAAGTCACACAAAAACTGTTTTTTTAATTGGTTGACAGTGTAAAATGTAAATTTATTTCCACTGAAAAAATAATATAATAAAATCAAAGTGTTGATATTTTAATTTTAAGATCACATAAAATAATGGGTTCATTCTATTGTTCGGAAAAACAAAATCAGTGTCGGTCGTCAGTGCCATCCCTTACTCCATTTCAAGGGAAGAAAAATGAAAGTATAAGATGGAACTAAACAACATAAATTTTATTAGGTTTTATTTTATTTCGTCCTATTTTGAAGAACAAGCAATGACGACAAATTTGATTATCTTCTATTCCACCGCTTTTCAACGATCTAAACATAGTTTGGGATTTTTTTCATTTGGCGATAAATTGAACTCCACCAAAACTCGCTCAACTTATTCCAGAATGTATCAATTGTTCAATCAATCATGGAGATGACAGCGTTTATCAATACGAAACTACTACTTGCGAAAAAAAGAGAGAGCGAAGTGCACGTGATGGATGTGAATGTAAAGAATCGTGAAAATGATTTGTTGTGAATGACAAATGAATTGAATGGATTGTTACCAGATTGAATTCAGAAGCCAATTGCCGAGAAACTAAGCGCCAACCCTGAAGTGGACCACAAGAGAGAGCGAGAGCGCGCGGGTTCACCTCACAGCGTAAATTTTTTTACATTCACGTTGGATACTCGTTGTTACTTCTATACAATAATTAATTCATACATTGAATGAAAATATTTTTTAGTTATTACCAAAAATATATAAATGATTGACAAAACATTTTTTTCCTATATTTTTTAACTAATATTATCATTAAATTCTCAACAAATATTAAAAAGTTTTTTATCAATTAGCTAAACATGACTACAACTTAACATATAATCATTTAATATTAAGTTTATGACATTTTTTTTCTTTAATTCATCTTAACCATTTCTATTTCAATCTTATGAGTGACTTCTATCTACACTTTATTTCTCACATTAATGAATAATTATTTATTTTAATTTCTTTTATTTGTTTATTTGAAACATAGTTTAATTTTTTTACTCAATTACCTAAAACTAATCTATCCATTTTTTCACGAAATCTAGTGATTCGAATTGTCTTAAAAAATCTCATAATACACTTAACTCAAGAATGTTCTTAAGTTGTTTGGCCTTAATTTATTTCTTAATTTATGTCTTTTCTATTTTATAAAACTGCTTGTAATTTGGACCTCATGTATGCAACTTCAACAAGTTTGTATGTAATGAAGAATGTGAGGTATTCATGGAAGTATCAGGTGCATAAACTTGAAGGGTCATTATTATTGAATATATTAATGACACATTCTATATACATTGTTTATATATTAAAAAAAAAAAAAAAAAGGTGTAACAATTTCAATGCATGGATTATGTACAGATTGATGTGAACATATATAAACTTGTATGTTATAATTTTAAAAAAGCTTGTGAGTTTGAGAACTGGTACACGCCCACTGGTTAACTGACCCAACCAATCTAAAATGCTTACAAGACTAACAATGGTAACCATTACTCATTAAAAATGAATCTATATAAATACATGTAACTTGCACTCAGATGTGAATCATCAGGTACATTGCAAAAAGCATACATGACGACCACTTCAACATTAAATAGTGTTGGGGCTGAGGATTTATTTGTGAACCCAAAAATTAAGTAAAGAAATTTATATATAAAAGGGGCAGAGGCTTAACCAAGAAAAGCAACCTAAAACAATGTCTATAGACTATAATTTCCACATAAGGAAGGGTCATTTCTCTCTTAACTTCTTGGTTACAGCAAAGGCAACACCTGCCACAGCCACAATTATGCCTGAAACAATAATGGCTGACTTTAGTGTTCGTATGGCATCCATCTTTTTCCCTTCCTTTTTCTCTTGTTTCACCTCAGTTTGTTCCTTCAAACAATCAATCAAGCATACAATATTGTGAAATTGAAGAACCCATTTGATTAATGATATGTATATTAGCCAGATCAAACCTAATAATATTGGACGTGAATAAAAAAAATCATGACTTTTACAGTGATATGATCAAAATAGTACGTATAAGCCAGAATATTTTTTACTTTGATTTCTGGGCTATACATATATAGAAAAAAGAATTGTTCCAATGTTCAAATGACATGTTCTTTTATTTGTAGTACCTTGGAGGGTTTTGTGGCAGCTACCTCTGATGATACAGGGTCAACTTCAACATGAACATTATTGCCAGATGCAGGATTCAGTTCCCCATCAATGTCTGCTGGTGGAAACGATATGTTTGAGCTCACTGGTGGGCTTCCCATTTTCTTCTTCTACCTTTTACTCAAGAATATTCTGCAAGTTGTAACCTTTGAATTCAATTGTATGAGAGAATGCAGAGGATAGAAAAAACACATGCATGATCTAAGTTTCATGGTAAATTCAATGCCAAAATATTGCTCACATTTAACTGACACGTGCCAGTTTTCCAAATTATAAGGTTGTTAGAGTTCTATGGGTCCTTCCTGTTCTCAAACTCACCGAGATAATTTCGCAGACTCCGCTAAACTTTCGATGACTTGTGCAAAAAAAGCATGACGATTTCTTCAAATAACAAAACAAATGGTGCATACTGTTTTCTTCAAATAATGTGCTATCCAAACACAGAATATAATTCACTTTATCACGTCACGTTACATTCCATTTTAACTTACGTAATTTAAAACTGTAAATAACTTCAGCAGTCATTTATCAATGGTTTAGGTTTAATAAAAAGGATCAATCTTTAAAAATATATTGAATTAAAGTTTGATTTTTCACCTTACCAAAATCTCTTATTTACTATTACACCAAGTTATGAATAGAATTGTTTCTAAAACAATCTTGATTATTTATGAATGCTTCAAATTTAACTTATTAAATATCCATTTGTTTAGACAAAATGAAGTTATAGTTAAACTTCATTATTCAATCAAATACAAGTTTCATAAACTTGGCATTAACTTCTCCTGAATATATATATATATATATATATATATATTTACCGAGATAATTGGAATTTTAATTTTTATATGTAATTAAAAAATGTAACTTTGTTCATTTTTATCTTGTATATCTAAAATTCCTTAACGCCAACTTTTTAGAATTTCGTTTTCCATGAATTACTACAAGTTTTCTTCGACGATTATTCGACTTCAATCATAAAAACATCTTTATGATTATAAAACTATTTTTTCCTACTATTTTGCTTTACTCTTTGACATGCATAGATATATTTATTAAGTACTACATCACGCTTCCCTTAAAGTCGGATTAGAACGCCCCAATGCTCTTGTGGGAAAATAATTTAACGAAAACTAGAAATTATCACCGACAAAAACAACGTAATTCATTTATTTGGTTTCTCAATAAAATGATGTACAAACCTAAGATACACCGCACAGAGTGTGTGAAGAAGAGATTTTGCTAGTACCATTGTTCAGCAATATTCTGTTGTTGATGAGCTAGATTACAATCTGCATAATATAACCTTTAGGATTCTTGAACCATCCTCTCACAATTACATGCATTTTGTCTTTTGTCATCCATGCATTTTCCAATGTCAGAACTACAAATAAAGGGACAAAGCAAGGCTTGCAAGTTAGAAAATCAAATGAAAAATATAGGAGGGTCTGTGAGTGTAACATTCGACTCCAACGCCAAGATACAGAGCTGAGATTGTGCAAGAATGACACGCTTGTTTCTTAGATTTGTATATCCCGCACATACATGATACAACTCATCTCTACCTAAATTACATCGTGGACAACCCTCATGGCAATATGAATTGATCTAATGATGGTAATAATTATTTTTAGCCAAATAAAGCTGAATCAAACAAGTTGGAGCTATATGAATTGCTCTGATGATAAAGAACACTTTAGCTGAAGAAAGCTAAATCAAGCAAGTTTATCACTAATGACCCGTTGATCCAGGCTTTCAATTCTTTGGCGTTGAACCCTTCAGAGATTTTCAATTTTTGCTCCCAAAACCACGAGGAGTTGGCCTTCCTGATGTTGAGTCCACGAATACACTTCTTGATTCCGATCTCTTCCTCCTCCTTGCAGTGCCAGGTGGAGCCTGATACGGGCAGAATTAAGAAACCAGAAATCATCAAATGTTATGATAAGTAGCATGCACAATTTCACATGCAAACACAAACTCAAGATTCCCAATTATGTTTAGTATTTGTTTCATGTTTTTTTCTCTCTAGAAGTCCAGAAATGAAAATGACTTCACAACTTAAACAGGATATTTACGCTAATAAAGATGTAGAAGGTCCCGACAGTATTGCACTTCGAATCAGATTAAAAGAAACATGAAAATGACATAAAGGGACTAGGATTATTTCAAAATCATCTCATAGCATGGATTAAATCCACGGCAGTTAAACATTTTAAGCATAACACGCCAGACATGTTACACATATATTGAACTAGTGAATGGACCGCCCAAGGATACCAATAGATGAGGTTTTGAATACCTAGTATTACTTTACACAAACTAGCTCAGTTTATTAAAAAATTAAATAAAGTAACTTAAAAATTAATAATTCCATACATATAGAAAGTGAAATCACCTTTTCCTCTACTTTAAGCGCTTCCTCAAGATTACTAAGTGTTGGAAGTGATCCACTTTCCATTACACCCATCAGGTTCTTCATACGAACACGCATTTGAAAAAGCTGAGCCACAAGTTGGCTTACCTGTTATTATTGATGGACATTCTTCTATGTTAGGAAGTATAGCACTGGTATATAGACCACAACCTCCAAGGCCACTAAGTTAAATTTGAAAGAAAATTCATACTACATACCTGCTGCTCTGTTTTCCCTGAATCCTGAGCAACTCTTTTCCTCCTGACAGGGGATTCTGCTAACAGTTCTGGCTTTTCCCTCTCCTCTGGAAATAACCAATTGGTTTAGCTAAACCAGTTAATCTAGGTTCGACAAATATTAAACAGTTAATTTTCCTTACAATAACAAAAAAACATAAAATTAGTATTTCTATCATTTGATAACCAAGGGAATCTGGGCCCTGGGATGTTTCTGTCAATTTTGTTATGAATTGTATGTAATGATCATTCGCAAGTTGAAGATGGGCTTGCCTGTAACACATGATATGTATAACACTCTCCAGGGACAGAAGGAACGGTTAGATGCCATGGTCCTTCAAAAAATTTTAATTTCCTTTAAAATTATATAAATATTTTATGGCCCCTTAGACCGCAACCGACACTCTCAATGCATATATTATAAAAAAGAAGCAGAAGAATAGGCCTAATACTACCACCAAGCCTATACAGGTAAAAAAAATTTACATTAAAGCCAAAATATCATGAAAAACAATAATTGACTACAAGCCTGGTGAAGAAAGGATGGAGTGTCAAAAATACAGAAAAAAAATCACTGCAGATAGATAATTGAACTGGTAGCAAAAGCAAAAGTAATTGATCAAAGGACATAAGTCAGCCAGGTAATGCAAATCATCAATATATACTGCATGGTTCCTCTATTGTTGCGAAGATTATTTTAATTACCAGAGATACTCCCATGTCAAGAAAAATTTGCATAGATAAAGATGATATGAGCAATTTATTTAACAATTGGTCAGTAGAAAGAAAGTACCAGGGGTCATTGCTTCTATCATTACTTCCATATTCTGCAAATTCTTCTCTGCATCTCTAATTTGAGACGGAGTAACCTGTATCCATGCAGATATTGTGCAAGTTTTAAAGCATCTACTGAATCAACACCACAATATCTAGAAAAATTTGCAAATGCTAGCAATGCTCAATTTCAATGTTCATAAACCACAATTGGGAGATAGTGGTCAGATAATTCTCTCCTTCATAGTGGCCATGCAATTGTCATAAATAGAATATTTAGTATAATTCATGTGCATGATCTCATACCTTCCCCATACCAGGAATCATTCCAATGACACGAGACACAGAACCCATTTTGGCAACAGTACGAGTTTGCTTTAGAAAATCGTTGAAGTCAAATTTTGCACTCATGATCTTCTTTTGCAGTTCTTCAGCATCTTCTTTACGCATCTGTAATGCATGTGGTTTATAATTCACATTGAATATTTATTTTTGTCTTGTAGCAATATAAGAAAGGAAGGGTTAGTGAGACTTACAACTTCTTGTGCCTTCTCCACAAAAGAAAGAACATCTCCCATTCCTAGTATGCGTCCTGCCATCCGATCAGGGTAGAAAGGTTCAAGATCCTCCATGCGTTCCCCCCGTCCTACTAGTTTAATTGGCTTTCCAGATACCTGCCATCATTAAACTATCCAATTAAACAAAATATACAAGAGAAGGAAAGAGACTTAGAATGGCAGGCTATACTAATCACTTCACAGTTTCATACATGCTTATTTCTTTGCACCCTATTTTTCCTTCATCCGAAGTATAAACACTGTCACTTCAAAAAATCAACTAATTATAGCACAACGTCCCATAATTGAGGGTATACCAACTTCTATATATTCAAAATTAATTGACGCATAAGTAGTATATTTTGCCTTAGAAATCCGGGAGTCATATAATTCAGGTTTAGATATATGCCACTCATTCCAAATTCAATGTGGCAGTGGCTATAATATATTTATGAACACATACATTGCAAACACCAATCCTCCAATAACTCATGAGTAATTAGTACAATATACAGGTTCACCAAGTTTATCTTTGAGAAAATCTGCAATATTTCCCTAGATACATACATTCCCAAGTTTATCTCCATGAGAAGTGGCTTATGACCTTTCTATAAACATGTTTTTTTACTTTATTCAATAAGCTTCGTTGAAAAACTTCAAAATAAGCCCCAAGCTTATGAATAAAATTTCATTTGACAAAAGTTTTTGAATAAATGCTTAATTAAGTCATTTACCCAAATGTGGCCTAGGCCTTTCATTAACTTAAATGTAAAAGCTATCTCAAAAGGGAGATTTCCTCAAGTCTTATAAAAGGTATGGTGACCATATTATTTGATGTAGGATCTTAACACAACCTTCATCCTAGGACTGGACATTTGGAGCATGAAGTTTGACATTTACAAGTGACCCAAAATTAGGATTGGATAAACCGAAATAAAACCAAACCTAGCTTAAGCAGTACTTCAACCATACTCCAAGCTGATGTGGGATCTTAACCCAACCTTCATCCCATGACCAAACATTTATAGTATGAAGTTTGCAAGACTTTACATCTATATCTATTAGTGACCAAAAATTAGGATTGGATGCACTGTGATATTTAACCCAAATGATAGCTTAAGGGGAGAGGAATGCCAAGTTTTAAAATAAGTATTTTAGATATATGCCTAATTAATGTGGGATCTTAACACCGTCAAATGGGGTTGTTTATGATCTCTAGCCTTTTCAGCGCAATTTACACAACACACCACACAAAGACAGGAACAGCTAAGATAGTAGGATCTCTTTTCCTCATGCATCTGTTAATCATATCTTGCAAATTAAGGGAACTAACTTTGAAGAGTTGTAGTGTTAAAAATTATTGTATAGAACAGTAAACGTTGCTTAAGACAAAACAAATTGCAAGGTTGCAGCAATGTTTAAAAGTAAAATAGAAAACAAAAACATTTTATGAAAGCTAAGACAAAGGCAGGGAAACCTCTTTGACACTCAGAGCTGCTCCACCTCTTGAATCACCATCAAGCTTTGTTAAGATGGCACCTGTTATTCCAATCTCAAGATTGAAAGTAGTCACCAACGCTGTACAAAGAAAACAGCAGTGTCAGAATTTTGGAATGGTTATAATGTCAGAGTTTAATTAATAAGCTACACAGCCACAAGATTATACCAAAGCCAAAAACAACGGATCAGTAATATGATAATCATAAATTAATAACCATTTTACAAAAATGAACGAATTTTTTTTCCATTAGATTATTTACTAAAAATTTCCATTCATGTAAAAGAGTACATATACACTTCTGAATACCTGCAGCTTCTTGCCCTGTCATTGCATCCACAACTAGCAACACTTCTGTAGGATTCAATGCCCTTTTCACTTCTTTTAACTCATCCATCATTGTCTTGTCAATCTGTCCGATAAGAAATACAACCGTGATCAATAAAATAAAAATGATTAATGAATAAACATAAAAATGAAATAATTATTTGATATAACAATTCCAATCCCATAGATAATCACCTGCAGCCTACCAGCAGTATCAACAATAACAACATCAATTTTCTTCCTTTTTGCCTCTTCTAAACCTTGTTTGGCAATTTCTGAAGGTTTAACGTCGGTACCTGCTGTATAGACAGGCACATCCACCTGGTAAAAGCTAAAACTAATTATAAGCATGCTTGATTCAATTGGTTGAAAAATATCTTTAAGAGCCTAACATAGATCAATAAATACACTGAAAATGCCTATGAGGAGAAAGTTAAGCTAGATACTAAAGCACTGCCTAACAACATACAATAATGATATTGATGGATATATTTAAAGAATGCATTTCTCAACTAATTGAGACGGGTCAACTTAAACACAATAACATTCCAGTACCTGTTTTCCCAAAATGGAAAGCTGGTCAATAGCAGCAGGCCTGTAGACATCCCCAGCAACTAGCATGCAACTTTTTCCCTGAGATCAAATTAACATGATTAGCTTCAAAATTTTCAATAAGTTGCAGGAACTACAAACTACAAGGAAGGAGATAGTGTAAGTGGGAAGAAAATGGGTAGGACACCTGTTTCTTGAGATAATTTGCCAACTTTGCACACACGGTTGTCTTCCCAACTCCCTGGAGTCCAGCCAATAAAATGACAGTGGGCCCAGATTTGGCAAAAACCAGTTCAGAAACCTCTCCGCCCATCAATTTTACAAGTTCATCATGTACAATCTGCAAAACCCAATGATCAGCATAACACCCATTTCATTCTTATATAATTATCCAATACTCGAAGACAAAAATAGATCAATACCTCGTACAAATCTCACCTTCACTGCATGTGAATATGCAAATATTATCAAGACAAACCGAAATACACATACACATGCAACAATAATGCTATAGTCATATGGTGCATTCCATGCCACAAATTCCAACAGCAGTTTGACAACCCCCACCCAACAAAAAATAAAAAGGAGATAAAATCAGTTGAATTCAAATGCAAAGTTCAGATTATTCAAATGAACCTTTGCAACCAAACACACAAACACACATTGGAGCCTAAAGACTCTGTTGAAAGTCTCACATCGCCTACCTCATATCATTTGGTATGATTTAAATACATGTTAGGCTACTCTACATATTGTCAATTGATTTTATGTTGGAACCTTAACATGGTATCAGAGCCAAAGCCTAACATCTTTCCGGTTATTGTCATGGGCCAAAAGTTGCCATTTAGTTGGGTCAAAAGTACCCTTTGCCTGGTCCAGCAGGCTTCGTTGGAGGGGGTGTGTTGAAAGTCCCACATCGCCTACCTCATGTCATTTGGTATAATTGGTTTTATGTTGGAACCAGACTCCTTGTGGGGCTGAAATTGAAATTTATATTTAAATACATGTTAGGTTAATCCACATATTGCCAATTGGTTTTATGTTGGAACCAGACTCCTTGTGGGGCTGAAATTGAAATTTATATTTAAATACATGTTAGGTTAATCCACATATTGTCAATTGGTTTTATGTTGGAACCAGACTCCTTGTGGGGCTGAAATTGAAATTTATAGCACAAAAGGAAGCAGTGGAAGAAATGGTGATCTTGTACCTTCGAAATTCCCATGTGATTTAAAGATGATAGAAATGCTAGCACGGTAAGTTTTCAGCCACAACAACAAAGAATTGATAGTGAAGTTATGATAGTGTGGAATTGAATTATTTTACCTTAACCAATTGCTGATCTGGTCTCACCCCTCGAATGACACCAACACCCACAGCCTGATCACTGACAGACTGCACAAACCTTCTGACCACAGGAAGACTAACCTGCCAACACAACACGCATACCATATCTTAACTACTTAAGGCCCTGTTTGTTTACCATTTTCAAAAACAGATTCCTAGAATTTGAGACAACTCAAACATGTCAAAAGGGCAACTTACATCCGCTTCTAGAAGAGCTCTCCTGATATCTCGCATAGGCTCCACAATGTTCTCTTTAGACAAAACCTCTACACACAAAAACAAGCATACAAATCAGCTCAATAACAATCTAACAAGTCGGTAATTCTTGTAAAATTTGGAAAACCTTCTCCTTTGAGTTTGTTCCATGCAGTCTCAAGGCCACTCGTCAATTGGCCAAACATTTCAGCCCTCACCACCACTCCGCGCGAGTCCCATCTCACGGCCACGCCTTTGGAGTTGGAGTTCACCCAACCCCATACCTCTTTCTGCCACACAACCCAAATTACCTCATTAATCAATTATCACTGAACGTGTTTGTGTTGCAGAGTAAGTAACATACCGCGAACCAGTTTCTGGAAGATAAAGAAGCGTTGGCGGATGGAGGGGAAAGCTTGATTGATTTGGCAGAAGAAGAACGCAAGGTTCTGTTGTGAGAGAAAGAAAGGGAAAGAGTGGAGAAATGGCGGGAACATGCTACGGCATCCATGTCTTCTTCCCTGCACAACCTCTGAAGCTTGCTTTCAATCTTTTATCCACAGCCACAACTCGACAATGTAACAACGTGGCATTCACATATATTTTATAATTTTTATATTTTTTTAACATCTGAACTAAAACTCACTGTTTTTATTTTTAAGAAGATGCATGATTAAGTGACAACTCTACTCTACATCTAATAAATAACTAATTAAAATAATAATAATAATAATAATAATAATATTATAATAATAATATCATTATTTTATTAATCTATTCAGTTGCATGCGATGAGTTTGGGTTGTCAAAAGAAAAATTTCCTTTTAAGAAATCCGGAAAAAGAATAAGAACTCAGTTTCATTCATAGTTATTTGATTGGTGATCATACATGCATCTATCTATTTGAGATTTTTTATTTTTCTCATCTTTCTATTACATTTGTGATGAAAAATGATTTAGAAATCATTTAAATAAAATATATAGATGTAAATTAAAACTAAGATTAAAGAATCAAAATTATACTTAAAGTGAAAAATGATAATTATTGTCCAAAACATATTCAAATTTTATGTTGCGAATTAAGAAACTAAACGTGTAACATCCAGATATTTCCAAAAATATTTCATTAATATAATAAAATATTTTGTCATTAACTTTAATAAAATGGTATTATGAGTTATTTTAAGACTTGATAATTTTTAAAGATATTAATAAATAATATATATATATATATATATATATATTATGAAATTTTTAATAGAGTGAAATAGATAAATTTACAATTGAGTTTAAAATGAAGTAATAATAATAATAAGAGTAATATCATTAAGCAAAATTAGTAATATAATTTAGCATTGATGAAAGGATTTAATTGGTAAGTGAAAAAGTAAGTGAGGGTAATTTTGGAAAGGAGGTTAAATTTAAAGAAGAGAAAGATCAATTTTCTTTCTCACTTACGGAAACCATTTTGGGAGCACGGGAGGAAGAAGAGAAGCTTGGTTTTGTTTGCCCACACCATCTTGGTTCATCCTTTTTGCAATTAAGAGTAAGATTCATGAAATTAAAGCATTGCATTTCAATATTATCTCCTAAAATCTTCTTAATCTCAAATATATAGTCATTTTGATGCTTATAGGAGACAAACTTTTCTTGAACTAAGGATTTCCATTTTCTTGTTTGAAAGCTTCATTTGAGGTAAGAAGAGTCTTCTTATCATCAACCCTAGGCTAAATCATCATTTATCTCACTTCTACATTAATTGGAACCAAATTAAAATGTTTTATAAAAATTTCGTATGGCTATTCTAGTATATTTAGATACTCTACAATGCTCCTTTCATATTTTAGAGTTTAGAAATAGATTCCTTGGATGTTAAAAGCTAGAGTTAGCCATAAAAATCACTTAAATTGGATTTTTCTAGAGGAAGATGATGAAATATGTGTTGAGAGATGTTATTGGACAAGAATCTGCATGTGAATAGAATCTTTGGGAAATTATGTAAAAATATTTACTTGGTATTTAATTCTGAAATTTTGATTACATGTTCCTTTATATGTCTAGTTTGTGTGTGATTTATTTCAAAATTTTCTGACCAGTTGATTTTCGATGAAAAATCTTGGAAGTAAATATGTTTTGAGTTGGGTGAAACAGAATTGTTATGTTCGCTCAACAACTTTGAAAAATCATAGAAAATCGAAATTGAAGTTTTTTTTAGATGAATTTTTTATCATAGTTGTGATTGTAGGTATATGTTAAGTGTATTTATTTTCATAATTTTATGACCATTATTTTATTTTATAAAAATATATCTTTGAGTAATGCCTTGATAGTGGAATCTTCAAAACGTATGAAAATGGAGGAAAGTTTTGAATGACTTAGAAATCTTTAAATTTTGAATTATAATTTTTATTATAATCCTAGAATATATGTATTTTGGACTGGAAAAGTTCATAGAATTTGGAGTTAGTTTAGATGGCAAAGAATTTTTCCAAAGTTACACTTTTCTAATGCTTATGATAGATTTTTCTTCCTAGAGAAGTGTAAACAAAACTTTAGTTCTGAACCTATTATTTATTTTATGAGTATGTATGATGTGAGAATGATAGTATAATGAGACATTTTAGGACACAAGATTAGAATAACAAGAGTTTAGAAAATTTGATGGATCGCAATGTGTGCTGAGTCCGAGAGTGTCCGACTCTCGACAAATTTTTATTGTTCTTGTTTGATGCAGGAAAATGTGTTTATAAATTTGATTTGAATGTATTTGTAAATTGGGAAATGTCCAAATTACAAAGGAGACTCTGTCAAATTTTTGAAATTGATGAAAAATAAATACAGCTTAATAAGAATGGTATAAAAAAATGTTATGAATAGTTAATGCATTCATAATCATGGTAGTTAGTGGGAATCATGTCTATAAGTTGTTTGTACTATGTGCTGAGTTTAAGTCAGAGATGTTGGTCATCTAAAAATAGGGTATTATGTCTATAGTGATATGGTCTATATGATGTAGAGTTTGTTCCTACCAAATATATTGTTGTTAAAGATTTGGTGGTGTCACTCAGTGACGAGATATGTGTGTGGATGGTACGGAGATACACCGGGGGCTTAGGAGATAAGAGAAGATTAGATTGATCTTGGGGAAATATAGAGTGCATTGTTTGGCCACGCTCTATACTCCCGACTTGACTCTTTGACTTTGTCTTTTTGCCAAGGGATCGTTATGCGTAAGTATTGTATCTGTGATGCGCAGATCAACCGGCAACTATCTATACTTCTGTGAGCCATTTATGCTCGTGTGTAATTTTGTTATGTTTGTGAGAGTTGTTTGTACTTATGTGTGATCCTTTCATGGATTGAAAGATGGGATTGATAGTGTATCCTAGGTGCATGAGCATTTCAAATGTGGCAAAAATGAACGAATGAAACACAAACATGTATTGTGTGTTTTTAGTTTGAGCAATGTGATTTGTGGAAATTGTTTGAAATTTCTGTGTGGGATACTTTATTGAAAAAAAATTGAAATGTTTGACTATAAATGTTACATATGGTTTTAGATTGTAGAGGTTGGAAAAATTTTCGGTTTAGTGTTCTGGAGTTATGAGAAAAGGAAACTCATCCTTACTGTTATCTTTCAGGTAATGATGGAACAATTGTGATGGAGAAACCACAGTTTGATTGAGTATCATATACATATGTATGGAAGAATGTCTGTCCTTCGGGAGGGTATGATCTTGTATAAGAAAGTTAGGAATTTTGGGTATCTCGCTCTGATTATGATTTGCTTTATTTTGAGATGTATAAATTTAAATTAAGTTCTAATCGTTTAAGGGTACCAACTTTATGTAATTATAATATGATCCTTGTTGGATTAGTTATTTTGAAAAACAATGTATTATGATTATGAATGTTATGTATGAACATGTTCGACACCTTATTTATATATATTTATTCACGCATTACAAATTTTAAAGTTCATTGTCATAAAGAAATAATATTGTAAAAAAAAATATTCCCATTTTTTAGAAATTAAATAAATTAGAAAAAAAATGACGTTACAAAACGCAAAAAAAAAAACACTATTTTAACAGATTTTATCGTGATTTCTTATGTATTCCAAACATGATTACAAATTACTAAAAAAAGAATTCTAAAATCACATTTTACACTTAAAATTTTCTATCATACTAAAAGAACTCTTTCTTTCAGGTTATGACTGATGTATGGAATAAGCAAAATGTTTTGCTGGGAAACACTGATAACACTCTCCACCTTTCTTACCTTCTGATTACTGTTATTCAAGATGAAGCTTATACAATTACAAGAGCATTACCGTTAGTTAGAAAAATGATGTTGTATGAATTGGATTAAGTTGAGTATTTCCAGCCTCCATTCCTTTCACACCTAGTTCTTTTTGGGATTTGTTGACGTGAATTATTTTAGCTACAGAGCAACATGCATCAATTTTTCACATGCAACTCCTTAAATGCACTGAAACATTCAAATGATTTAGGACACGATACCAAACATTCTGTTAGTCCATAAAACTTTTAATTTTTACGTTTTTAACACACGTTCTGAATTTTTAAAGCAGAATTAAACAGAAGGATAGTTTTGTCTGATACAATTCCATTGTTCCATCATTTTCTTCTCCTTTTAGTAGCATCATTTAGAATACGAGATGGGACTTCTTTTCTTTTCACTACACTGAAGAATATTCGCCATACATTGAAATGGTAATGTATTTCCATGTCAGTCCATCATGTTTCATCTGCTCAAACCATTTCACTCTCCCTTAAATATCCAAACTGCATACATAGGGTTTAAAGACCACGCGGTCATCCACACAAAAATGTGTTGAACAATGCTGACAAACAACTCTGAATTCGTTAAATTCTATACTTCAGCAACAGAAAGAAAAAGTTAGAAAGTCTGCATGGTTAATGACATACAATAAAGAAACATGGTTAAGAAAACACAACCCGGAAACAACAACTGAAAAACACAAACACCAAACTAGTAGTAGTGAGCATTTCCAAACGTGGAAACACGAATTGATCTCCCCTTAACACCTTGTTGTACAATCCCTTGCTTTTCCTTCCCCACGAGAGTGCCTTCTCAACATGAATGCACTCCATTATGACATCAGCAATTATGCAACTTCCTAGGAGTCCATATTTACTGAAATCACAATTGCAGAAACATTATGGGAGTACCATTTTTCTTCTCTCGTCCTGTCCCTCAGGCAGCAAGATAAAAGGACCAGAAGCTTTCAACGCCAAGCTTCAGCCAACTCCGTTCTTGAATTTAGACGCCCAATAATTGCAGTTCCCCTGTTCTTCTCTGTAGCTCCTGCTACGGGAAGCTCAATCACCTTTCTGGAACATTTGTCTACATCATGAGTACTCAACTGAAGGCTTTTGCTCCTGCAAAAGTTTGCTTGATACCCCTTTGTCTGCCCAGTAGTGAGGCCACAGTCTTGAAGCCCAATTGCCAAGGAGCAAATTTGAGACACAAGATTGCAAGGACAATTGTCAACCAACAACCTATTTCCACTAGAAATAAAATTTTCAGTAGATGTTGGCAAACTTTTGGACTCAGTTTCACATCCATCTTCAGTAAGATGACTAGGGCTTTGTTCAGCCGGCTCTGCAGTGACAAATACTGCACCCTCATCTTCATCACTACAATCATTTCCACTTTCACCGCCATGCTTGTGAAGCATTTCTGAATTACTATGGTGCCCATCATCGTCAAAAGAATCAAGGTTGGGAACAGGATTTGATTTTACAATGGACTCCTCTCTTTCTCTAAGTGTCTTGACGACCAGAGTCTTGAGAAAATTCATGACTTGTACTGCATACATCAAAGCAGTCAAAGGATCTGCCATCTGTAGTAGACATGCCAGACAGAAATACTGTTATTGTAATGTAGACTAATCATAATCATAACCACAGAAAAATATTACAATTTTGTACAGCATACTAGAAACAAGATTAAAGGAGCAAACACAACCAGAGACGATCATAAATGCTATTGTTTCACCATAAAGTATATCCTTTTCACCAAATTTTTATTCTTTCAGTTGAAGACAATTGATCTAACTTTACTACACAAACCAAAAGATATCATAATATGTCAAAATGTTTGCTCCACTCATTGAAGTTATATGCAATAAGATGGGTTGACTTGTATTTTCTAAGAATTCAATAACAAAAGTAGGGGCTAAGAACAGAACTATATACTACATTTATAACAGAAAATGATGTAGTCTTACTTGGGTCATGTTTGGTGCGAAAACCATTGCAACATTACGTGCATTCATCTTGTTCAAGTTTTCCATTTGAGCAACATCTGCCATTAAGTTTATCGCCCAATCTAGCAAAGCAGCTTCTGTTGGAGGAAGAAGTCTCACAAGCTGAGCACATTCTTCTTCCGACTGGGATTGCATCACCTGCTCTGGTGAGAGAGGGTCCAATACCCCAGTAGGTAGTTCTCTGAACCAAGCCTATGAAGGAACACAAGCACATCGAAATTAATGAAAATTTTCTATAACATAGTTGCCTTCATGAGTTAGTGGCCTCTTAAATGCATCTACCACTCTTCCATTGGTTAAAATAAGGAAAAAAATTAACATTAGCATAGTCATTAAATTCACCAAGACAACTTTCTAATAGAAGACCAGACCAAAATCCAGCAATCCAAGTCCCCCATTACAAATAAATCTTAAACTATTGAGAAAAAAAGTGTAATCTTGGACAGGAAAAAATAGTAATACCTTTATGAGACCTGCCAAGCAGTGCACATCAATGCCATCTGGTACTACCCCTCTGTTTAATTGTTCCCTCACAAACTCCTCTTGACCATTTTCAGCATTGATTCTGAAGATTCCTTCAGCCTGGATGTATACAGTTAAATTTCAAGATTCAAGTCCAATTAAAATTAAACAACAAATCATACAAAAGGTTTCTGGTAAATCAGAAGCAAAACATGGTAAAAATAATCTGGAAATCGTTCATCCGCTAATGCACATTACTGTTAAAGAAGCATATTTGTTCAAAACACCTTTACATTCTCAACAAGGTAAGGAAGGACTAGGAGCTAGGATAAATACCTGCAGGCCTCCACGTGCATACAAATGTCTTTGCATTAACAAAAGTATTGTAGGTACACTATTTCCTCTGGCGTCAAAAGAAAGCTGCATAGATTCTGTTGAAACTCCAAAAACATTTGTGCTGCGGATAGTAAATGAAAATATATCAACGTTTAAGGGGATAATACAATTAAGGATACATTCACTGGACACAAAATGAGTCAGGTAAAGGAGAAGATAGCTAAATAGTAGATGACCAAATAAATAGGTTGTACACTAAGGGCATATTGGGCGATGTATACTTGTATATCAACAATGGCTACCACTGATATGTGAAAAGAACATCGTCAGGGTTTATAATTACTTGTCGTGTCAGTAGCAAGAAATAATCAATTATGAACAAACAAGGAAATAGATTGTATGAGTGACATAATCAGAACGATAAGATGGAAAAAGGCACCTAGATCAATAACCTTTCCCTGCCTCTCATTTTTCTCATACCGTTTACTTTTTACAATAAACCAAATCCACTTCAGAAAACTAATTTGCAAGACAGATAAGTTGCAGTTTATCAGTATGAAATTAACTACAGACTATATATGGATAACATGAAAGGACAATTGGAACTTGCTCCATTCACTGAAAAAAAAAAAAAAAATATATATATATATATATATATATATATATATGTGTGTGTGTGTGTGTGTATATAATTATAAGTCATAGTGAGTCTTCAATTGTATCTACCATTCAACTCTTTTAAAGAGTAAGAGCAGTGGAAAACCAAATCACGTGAGCAGAGACGATACAACCACAATCAGCACATAACTTCAAAATCTCAATATGAAAACATAAACTTGTAAAATCCACCACATTTGTTAAGAATCGGATACCTATTTTAAAATTCTATATCACACAGGTTCAATTAATAAAAATGTAGCCAGGAAACAAAAAATGAGAACGTTATCAAAGATTTCCATAAAAAACACCCTTTTCAGAACCCAGCCTCACAAAAGAAAAATGCACCGATCCAATGACAACAAATTTCAAAGAAAAATTAAATTTTGAAGAAACCCCAAGTTTTCTTAAGAATATACCTAGCGCTGGGGGGCCTCCTGGGAACTTCGGGTTCAAACTCAACAGGCAAACCAAGAAAACCATGGAAGCGATCGAAGGTGACATGAGCCACGTGCCTCACATTGGAAGGCCACCCAATCTCCATGGAAGAAGAAGAAGAAGAAGAAGAAGAAGGGGAAGCTGTAGTGCTGCACCCAATCAGAGACTTCCTAAACGTAGCAATCAACAGGGTCAAAATTGAAAGCTGATCCCTTTCTCTTTCCCTTTCTTTCTCTTCTTCTTCCTCTTCCTCTTCCTCTTCAGCTTCCAAATCCAAAGGGGACTGTGGCAGCACCCCTTCTTCCACAGTGGGAGCGTTAATAAGGGAACTTGGGTGCGACCCATCATTGGGTGTGAGACCACCACAGCTTGACGATGAAGGCAACTGAAGCACTTCCGTCATATTTGATTCTTTCCCTTCCCACCACTTTTAATAACAATAACAATAATAATATATTAATTATTATTATTGTTATTATTCTTGTTATTATTAGTATTGTTCTTCTCCTACTAATTCCAATTTCCTCACCCAAAAAAGCCAAGATTTTGGTGGAGTAGAGTTTCCTTCAAGAAAAGCGTCTCGGAAGGTGAGACGTTACCATCATTGCTGTGCCTTCGGAGACGAATCATGTCCTATGAGAGAAAGAAAAGAAAAAGGAGAAGAGGTGGTTGTTGGAAATGGTTAGGGTGAACTGGAGACGAAGATGAGAGAGAAACAACTGTACACTATAATGCAAGAATTATTATTAATATTATTGTTCTTGTTATTATGTTTTTTTTATTATTATTATGTTTGTTCAGCTTTTCTGGTGGTGGCAATGGCAATGCCAGGGATGCTTTCCACCTCACACTTTGCTAATGTTATACTGATATAATTCCCCCCTTTGAGTCTTCTCTAATTTTCTTTTTCCAAGTTTTTTTTTTTTTCTTCTCAGATTCACTTCCAAATATGACACACCAATGACCCCACTTCTCCCCTACAGCCTCTGAGTCTGACTTAATATACCAATGTTTCAGCATTGTTAATTGCATCTTAATTAGTTAGAAATATGTTAGACTGCATTCTTAGTAAACAGTTAAGGTAAAATACAGTACAGACACTTTTTACATTAATCACAGATTGCTGTTAAATATATCAAGTGTATGTATGGAATTAAAACTGTAATACCAGTTCTCACCCTTTTTCTACATTAATAATCATTAGTTTCTGCATTAACTGGCAAGTTATGTTAATGTGATTGTATATATAAAATTGTTAAAATTTATAATACATTTATTATAATTTTGTTTTTTCTTGAAAAAAACGTTTTTGACATTTTTAAATCTTTTTTATTAATAATTATAGTTTTTAGAAAACATTATGGTTTCACCTCATATTTTGCAATTTTTTTTATTTTGATTTAGGTGCAAGACTAATCAAAATTTATGATTTTCTATCAATTTTAACTAAGAGGAAAAAGGGTATAAGGGGAAAGTGTTGTTTATAATTTCTCTACTTCTTTTACTATACTTATCTACTATAGAAACTGCGTTCCTTAGAGGAATAAAGTTTACATAATTAGTATACCTAACTTCACAAATAATTTATTTAGATGTTGGCCGATATTGTTGTCCAAAATTGAAGTTTCACGTAAAATAAAATCTATATTTAATGGAGTATTTTTCATTGGAAAACGAAAGTGGCATTGAAACAAGCTCTGTCCTAACGTATTAAAGATACTTAATTACGTTTTCTAAAAATGTCAGCTTTAGGCGAATTCTATGTACAGATTATAGTTGGGGTGAATTGAATTCAAACCTAATGGAACTTATTGCAAGATTAATGCCAACTTCTCTACAGCAGCAAAAATGAATGTTATGTTTGACATAGGGCAGGTGTAGGGTGGCTTGTATGTAATGTACTCTTAGTCTCTGCTGAATTGGTGCGTCTTCTTCATAGGGAATAACAAGCATTACTCACACACACCAGACCAATCTATAGTCCACGATCCAAGATGAAGAATGAATCCATGATCATGACTTGTGAGGATAAGACATCAGAGGTGTACGCTAACCATTCACTAATCTATTCACTGCCTTATCCATTTCTAACTTTTTCATTATATAATAAAACTTCCACTGGTTTTATTTTGGTCCGGTAAAAAACAGAGTAAGATGATTAACTCTTATAGTTAGAACAAAATACATATTTTATTTTACTCCGTCAAAAGTTATTCACGGACTAACGGATTATTCTACTAATATTTTTTTTATATAAATATTTTTAAATTGTTATTTATTAATTAATGTTTTCATTAGATAATTAAAAAAAAATATATATATATATATATATACATAAATATATATATATAATAGTAAAATAAAATAATATTTTAAAAAGTAATTATGAAAAATATAAACACACAACACTTTTATATCTGTATTTCCACTAATTAAAAATAATAAAAATCAATACTTATCTTTGTATGAATCTAACTTTAAATATTATATATTTTAAATAAAATAAATATTTTGACAGAAATTTTATTGATATCATTATTAATATAAAATAACACGTTTTATTATTATACTACAATAAGTATTTTAGAAGAGAGTTAACATTTTTTTATAAATAAAACTAAGAATCAATTACATAAAATAGTATACCATCGTTTCAACTAGCAGTGTTTCAATTGAGTATTAAATTATAAAATGTATTGTTTTTTCTAAAATTTAGCTAAACAGATAATGAAATGGCAGTGTGCACTCCTTCCCTGGGCCACATGTAATGCCACCACACAACATCAGAGGTTAAATAGTCTCAGAAATTCTTTAACATTGTCTCCACGTGTCCTTAACTTTGTTGTCATTGTTTCAGAAAGTTGAAAAGATAAGCTTTAGCAACAACACCATCTAACGAGGGCCTTTCAAACTTGGGAAAGGTAAATTTTTGAAATATACTCTCACATTCATAATAGTGAACTCTTTAATAACAGCATTGTATATCACGTTGCTTACTGTTTAAAGGTTTAATTTTTGAAAGATTATTTTTATCTGATTCTCGTTTAATATAATATTTGTTCGTCAAAAAATATGAGTGGCAGCTTCACGTAGATGATATTATTAAAGTTAATTTTAATGTATAAGTTATTGTTTATTTTGAAATTTTATTTTATTACGATTTTATTCTTAACAAACATTTTAATAATTTAAGAAAAAAATGGTTTCGTCTCCTGAATTATACAAAAATTATTATAATAATATTAATAATTGATTTATCATTTGTATTTATAGTTTTTTATTTGATATTTAATTAGGTCACATGCTACATTTTTTATTTTAATAAAAAATTAAACAAACATTAAAAAAAACAATAAATGAGATAATTTTTTAATAAATTTGTTTTTTTACGTGTTATTTTGTATTTATTTAAATTGAAATAATGGAACTTGTGAAGTTTTATGTTGGAAATTGAAATTGTTTATATTTAATGTAGTTTTTCTTTTTAGTTTTTAAAAATGATTTTGATTGTCAATTTGAAATATCTTTTTTATGAATAAATTGAAGAAAAATAAACGTTTGATAATATTAGTTAAAAAATATTTTTGTGGTAAGAAAAGTAGAAAGGCTTTTCATGAGAACGAAGACAAACTATGTAATTTAACCGCAGATAGATATACGTGTATTATTAATGAAAAAAAAATCATATTTTATTTATCAGTTTTTCTTTTATTTTTTAGATTTTAAAAGTTATAAAAACAATTATTTGAAAATTATATTCATAAAAACATTATTAAACAAATGCTTCAATTTTTTAGAAGAAAAAGTTGTAAAACAGTAAATAACACAAGTCCTTAATGTTGCTTGTTATGTTTTCGCTCTGTATAATAAAGTTAATCATTAAATCTGTTAAAATAAAGTTTTAAAAAAATCGTAAGATTCATATATTATTTATCAAAATTGAAATGAATTTTCTATAAGTTCTCCTAACTACAGACAACGTATGTCAAATTGTTTTCAGTTAAAAAAAAAAAAAAACAGAATTTCTATCATCAAAACAATTTTTTTTTTCTGTTTTCACCAGTAAAATAATTATTTTTTAAGGAGATCTAAATCATTTCTCTAAAAAATATATATATAAATAATGCCACGTGTGGCTGCTCGTAAAAGGTTATACCTAAACACTATTCTTGTCCAATTGCTTTACCTTTACAATTAAGCTATTATGAATGCAATATATTTGTTGACGTATAGTTTCATTATTTTAAATATTGTAGAATTTAATACTGCAAATAATGATCTCATATCCCAATTGCATTTGTCTTTATTTGTTTTATATATACAATCTCAAAAATACACCCCAAAAAACAGAGAGATAGTAACATGTTGTGGTCTTGTTTTAATATTCAATAAACATTTTCTTGTCAATGTATCATAATAGAATCATCATGAATAATAATTGCATTACTTTGGGAAAGGATAGAACAAGAAGCAATATGCCTAATGAATATGTTTGAGGATGAAAGTAGCATGCAACTGTCTATGACATGTTTTTTTGTTTGTTTGTTTGATTACAAAACTTATGAATTGGTGTTGTTGTTTAATTAAAACTGAAGCTTAAAAATGCACTATATATTCTTAGAATAAAACTCAAAATTTCACTGGAAAATACTTTAGAGTGGGGATTTTTTTTTCTTTATCTGATTAGTTTGGAGTTATAATTCTCACCAAACACATACCACCAATTAATCGTATTTAAGGGAAAAATAAATGGATAAAAAATTTGTGGTAATATATAATATGTAATATAAGGTTGTATACTAAAACCTAAATGTTGTGGTGCTAATTACTTAAGCGACCAAGAAAAAGCAATAAAAAGTAAATAAAGGAACTTGTTTGGTAACGGGTATATATATGTAACGCTAAAGAAAAGATACTTCTTTAAGCCCAAACAACAACATATCTCTCTCTACCGTTGCAAAAAGTTTGGATATAAAACGAAAAAAGAGACGTGTTTGCACAACTTGTGTACTGGGTTCATAAACCAACTTTAATTAAGGAAGAAAACCGTTGCAAGTACTCAGAATATTATTTTTCTTTTATTGCTAAGAAAACTTGTTCTACAAAAAATAGTCTAAATTATATTTAAAAAATGTGGTTAGTAGCATACAAAATACAAAGTTCTTACTAAAGAGTGAGCCTTGCTAAAAATTCAAAATGGCTGCCACAAACATAGTTTACGTAACAGATTCCACGAAAATGGCTTTAGCTCCTTTTTATGTGAAATTTATACAACTTTATGGTTCTATTATTGATGAGTTGAAGGCTCTACGTAAGGCTCCTACGGGTCCTACACCCCTACACCTTTACCTGTTCTTTCTACAAACCAAATAAAGAGTTAAGTTTTTTACTGAACGATGCTTGAAGTTTAATTAAAGAATATAATTGGTTTGATATTGCTCTGCCTTTTACTTCTGAAGTTTATACTTAATATCACTAATTACATCTTTTCATCCCCTCCAAAGCCAATTAGATTGGCCAAGTTTGTATATAAACAATGCTAGCAATAGATATGCATGCTACTGCATAATATTAGAGCAAAGGAGCTTTCTTTCGTGATTTGAATTTAAAAAGTATTCTCACATTAATTCTCATTTGTAACAAATAAATAATCGAGCTAGATACTAAAAAGATAAGACATGCAGAAACACACAGTAAAGGAAATCGCTATAACTAACAGCTTGTTTGGATATAGACCGTGGAAAGTTTAACTGCGATGATTAAAGTTAAGAAATCCTGAAAAAAATAAAAAAATACCAAAATTTAATCTGCGTGGTTTCCTCTTTACGTGTGAAGAAAAAAAACCCATAATAAAACATAATCGATTATGTTTAGTGATTATGTCTCAATTTTTTTATAAAATATTATTTTTATGTATTATTTATTATAATAATAAATAATTAAATAACAAAATATTAAAATAATAACTACATTTATTTAAAATTAATAAAATAACATTTTAATTAATTATTTCAATTTTATATAATAATAAATTCTTGTATGTGAAATCAAATTTTATTAAATCTTTATTTTTTATATTAAAAATTTAAATACTTAAAATAAAAATTATATTATATTTTTTTTATTTGATAAAATTTCACATTATTTTTCCCTTAAATAGTCTTCGTCATATTTTCAATTCAAATAAAGAGAATAGAAATAATCAATGTTTAAGATCATTAGATACATCATTAGAAGATCTTCTATTTTTCTATCTTTGTCATTCTCTTCTTCATTTTCAACATCACAAAAAATTGAAGAAATAAAAAATTAGTAAAAAAAATATTATAAAATAAATAAATAAATAATATTTGAATTAAATGAATTATTTTCATAAAAATCATGTTTCCAATTGAAAGTACAAATTATTGTTTTTACCTAGTAAAAAACGAATTTTGTACCTATTAGAACCAATATTAAATACAAATTTACAAACAGTTGTAATAAATAAGTATATTTAACAAGTTATTAGTCATAATGAAAAATCATAAAAATATTGATTTTTATTCTTTTACCATTGTAGAACATCTCCATATGTTATATAAAATCAAAATTCAATGCTTGGCTCATCCAACTATACATCAAGTTGCTTTCTTATGATTTTAGATGTAACTTGAAGCTTGTTCTTTTTTAATTCCTAATATGATAAATAAATAAAGATGTTAAAAATATTAATTGAAAATTAAAAAAAATGTACATCAAAGAGGCTTGATTTTAAGAATGAAATATTAACATGTTTGTGTCTTAGAACATTTAAAATCGTACTTTTGCTACAATATTGGGAGAAAAATATGTACATTTTTTTTCTTTATTTTCTCTAATTTTACTTCACAAGTAAATGGATTAATTCTTTCTTAACAAAATCTTAATGTTTTAAACTTCATCCTTGGGTCTAAAATTACATCAAATACAAATAAAATATTATATTCATCTCAATATTTATCAAATTTCTTCCTCATTTTTTTAGCAAATTTACCTTCATCTTTTGTACTTTCCATTAAAAGGTATTGAATTTTCCAAACTTGTAAAAAATACATATTGAAAGTAGGATAACTTGTAGTTAAAACTAAAGTATTTATATCATAAAATGACCACAAGAAAACAATAATCTTCTTTGTTCTTTATCATTCTTATTCGGAAGGATAACATCTATTAGTTGTAAGCTTCAAAAAATATGTTGGTATTTAAGAACACTTTAAAGCATCAGATAAGTTAAATTTCACCTTGTAAGAACATCTAAACGTAACCCACTTGAAATATCAATGTCACCAAAATTTGAAGTCATTGTTTGAATTTAATCATTATATTCTCTAAACCTTAACATATTTGATGTTCTCTTTGATTTAATCCAATGCATTATCAAGTTTATTCAATCTTTCTCGAACAATGCACGTGAAAGAATTTATCATAACATATCAACTAATTTTATAAAATAAGTTGACTTTTTAATACCTTTTACAAAACATCGTTACTAGAAGTATTATCTCTAGTAATAGAAAGAAATTTCTCGAGATTGAAGCAAATGACAAAAGTTAAGAATCTAAATACTTTTTTATTTTTTAAATCAACATAATGAACAGTAAAATTTATATAACCTTTAGTACAAGATGTCTATATAAGTTAAACAAATCTTATTACAAATGATAGCCAACTTTTCTTTAATTATATTTTTTTCTTTCATAAATATTCTCAATGTATTGCTCATTGTCTTATTTTTAGAAACTAATATTGTCAACAAATTAAAAAAGTGAATCATGTTGGATAATTAAATTAGTACAATACTCACAATTCATGAGTCATTGTGTAATCTTTTTTCTTTTTAACTTAAAGTTCCTTTGCATGTCTAAAATTATTTGACCCACATCTTCATTTTTAAAACCATCACACAAAGTTCTTTCTTTTCCATCATTATATACACCAGTCTTAGTAAAAAACTTTCACCAATCAAATCTGTTAGATTTATCCCTTTTTATGTTTGACTTAACACTTTCAACATATCCCTTTTTATGTTTGACTTAACACTTTCAACATATTAAAACTTAAGTTTATTCTCAATTTTATGTTTATTGACAATATCATTAAAATCGCATAGGTTTACTAATTGAATCATCTATTTCTATTATTTGTCCAATCCTATTTAAAAATAAAATATAAAAAAAAATATTATTTTTTTCTTAGTAAGAGATTTCAAGAAAAGCATAAATAGAAAAACATAATAATAAATGAGTTGTTATAGAGAAAAACACTAAAAAAACAAATAACAAAAATAGAAAAGAAAAAAGTATGAAATATGAGAAAGGAAAGAATTTTCTGTAAAATTCTAATTTTTTTATTAGTTAACTCATTTCACATGTTGACGGACTTTAGACGATGGACCAAAACAAAGTGATGAGCTAATAGACACCTACTTGCTACTAATTTTGTGATCCTACTTATAACTTCAATTTCCAAAAGAGCACGTCGACTCTCAAGTTGTCCCATTGAGATCTTTTGGATTAGCATTGACAGCAGACATGAATTTTGAAGCAAAAAAAAATCATAACAAATATACAATTCTAGCAAACGAAAACCTGATCCGTCTTTGGAATGCTCTTTTGGAGATGGTGCAACTCATGTACATGCGCTGAAGGGGTAAAAAAGCAAATAGAGGAGGCCCTGCTTTTGTTTTCAAAATCAATTTTGAAAACCTACCTTGTTTTAGAAAACAAATTTTCACCTCAAAACCGTTTTAAAAAACCAGTACATGCATCCCTTAAAATTGCACAAACTAGCAAGAAACTGTGCTCCACCTACAGTAGTCTAAGAAACATATTTCGACGAGAAAGCAAACCACATTGATCACCTCTTAAAATTTACAAGTTGTTAAAGAAGCGAAACAATGTACCCAAGCTCGATTGGGAAGAGTTGTACTGAACTTATTTTTAGAGATAATACCCATAGTGAAATTATAGAAGGTAAATTTATAAAACACCTTATCACATATATCATGAGTGCACCCGATGTAAATTCTTCTGCAGAAATAATTGTTTAGAAGATTTTTATAACTACAACCATTCCCCAATTTTCTCCTCAAACACGTGAAACTATATAAAATAAATAAAAAAGAAAAATAGCAACAAACTCAATATGTAGCAATGATTTAGCCAATAACATTAATAAATAAGAATCATCTTTCTCTATATGAAGATTTAAAGCCAATATATATTGAATAAAATATTATAGAAGCATTTACCTTCACACATTCAAACAAATGAGCCAAAAATTATGTGTAACAAGAAATACGATTCCTTAATCCTTAGCCAAAAGCGTTATAGTGAAACTTCTATTAGCAATCAACAAAAACCCCAATTTAGAGTAAGAGTAGTAAAAAAACAGGTTTTCAAGCTAAATACAATATAAAAAAGATGAGGAGAAATGCACTAAAAGTGATATATGTGGGTCAAGTCACAGCTATATAGGTATACCACCCCGACAATTTAGCCTGAAACGAACCCAGAATTAGTAGCCAACATGACCCTTTTAAGATCCCCAATTACAAGCTACTCTCAATAGCTACATTGTTCAAATACACAACTGCTAAGACCAGAAAATGTACTTATATAAATGTTTACAAGAAACAGAAATCAGGTCCTGTTCACAGGTTCAAGCGCCTCAACCGTGACCACACTATTTCCTCTGATTACCTGCAGAGTGGGTAAACTTATCAATTTAAATACATGTTCATAATCCGCTAATACCTTGACCACTGATGTTTAAAAGAAAATGCAAAAGAAGAGGACTCACCACCATCCCTATGTCCGTTTTCTCATTGCCATTCACTTCCACTGTGTTGTCAACAACCAAATTCATAAACTGGTCAAAGCCACGGAGAGTTCCAACAATCATGCGATTTGCATTCAGCTTGACTGCAAGAAATACCGAACAATTAGTATAATTTCTCACCCACTGTAAGACATTTTCCCAAATATAAAGCTCTATAATCAATAGGTTTAGGTTTTCATGTTTAGCATATGTGCATAGAAATTAGATATACACCAGTCAAAATACAAGTAGAAACAAAAAAAATAATAAAGATACATGTCATAGACATTAGACAAGATATATAACAAAACACCAAACAGACAAAATCTAATATGCGTATTCCCTGTTGAGTACAAATTTACTAATAAGGGTGACATAGTAACTAAAAAGGGTTTACCTACAACACCCCCCCCCCAAAAAAAAGTGTAATGATATTCTCACTAACACAAACACTTGCCACGATTTTCTCTGTAGGCCAAAGTCGTCCGCAGTTCTCATACATAATGAAAATATCATTGTCAAAGAAACAATAAAAAAGCTTGAAATATCAGATATTGATAATGTAAACCATGAAAGGAAAAAAAAAAAAAAAACCCGTTGAAACTAGAACAAGGGTAGAGCAAGTTTCATTCCACACAATTATTTTCATAAAATAAAATCAAACCGCTTATACACATTAAATTCGACGCGAAAGTAAAAATACAAAGTTAGCGAGAATTGGAGTTTAAAAGTAAACCCTAAAACATTAAAAAACCACCAACACTCCAGCTTGAAACACGATTTAGAAAGGAAAACACGAACACATTGTGATTCAAAATAACAAATAGAGAACCACACTTACTTTGAAGCTTCTTGTCCATGTACCTGGCGCAACCCCCAAAAAAAAAGACAATTGCAGATCAATTCGCAGCGAGTGTAACAGAACTTAGAAAATTAAATTGAAAAATAAATATATAATCAAATTGAACTGGAGAATCAAAGAAGCACTTACTTCTTCAAATCCGGTGGTTGCCCTGATCTGCTCATGCTGATGAGATGATATCACGGTAGTGAAGAAAATTCAGTTCACTGTTCGAAAGTGCCAAAATCAAAGCCAAAACCAAAACCTAACTTAGGAGGCAACGTTCCCTCTGCTTTATATCTTCAAGTGGAGCACGAAAAATTAAACTTGAGTGTTCCAAGGCCCATGGATCTGATGGTAGCAATCAAGGACCAATACAAGGAAAGCCCAATTCAATACTTACGATCCTTTTATTCCAACTTTTAAATAGGAAAAGTTATTTTTTAAAGTTATGTCCGCAAAATGTTTTTTCAGGTTAAATGTAAAATATAAAATATCAATTCTAAAATTAAATTTTTATTTTACATTTCTGTTTGATTCTGGATTTCTAAATTAATGAAGTTTAATTATCAAAATAATAAAAACCATTTGTTTTTTCAAATACTGATTTTCTTAAAAAAATACATTACAAATTATTTTTCAAGTAAAATCATTTTTCCTTATTAATTTAAATGTCTAAATTGTTGATACAATGACACAGTTTGTCTATTTTATTTAAATTAATACATGAGTTCATAATTTGACACGAAACTCCTATGATGTATGAGAATTTAGTTAAAAAAATATTTATTTTTGTGTGTATAATATTTTAATAAAATAAATTATGAAATAAGTAAATAATAGGATAGTATTTTTTTTAAAATTAATATGTAGATCATATTATTAGAGAAAGAAAAAATCAAAAGAAAATATTTTTTTAAAAACTATTCACCGCAAACTATATAAACAAAAAATATTATGTATAGCAATGGTGGCAACAATTAACATCATGCTGGCTGGATTGGAAATTTAAAAGGAGGATGCGGATAACATGGATGTTCAAGTTTGAATCTTTTATAAAAAATTTATCTAAATTAAATATAATCTGATTTTGTTTGATTTTTATCTTTTTTATTTTTTTCAAATATAAATATAAGTAAACTAATATTTTAGAATTTTGTTTTAATATGTTTTATGGATTTTTATAAAATTATTAATGATGATATAATAAAATAATTATTTATTTTAATTTAATTTTACATATTTTAATTAATTTAAAAATCAATATATCCTAAATTTATATAAAAAAACTAGTTCATTTCTTATAACATTAATTTTATATAGTTAATATAATAAAAGAATTACATAAATGATAAAATATAAAACCACAAAAATCTATATCATAAAACATACGAGATCAATTCTAACTCTTTCAACATGAGGTTACATTGTGTTTATTATATAAATTTTTATATTTAAAATATGGTAGGTTTTGAAATTTGTATTATCACGAGTTATTCTTAAAATATGTTTAAGAAAAATATAAAATATTTTAAACTCGACTTCTAAACTACACTTGTTAGTATAAGGGAAAAATAATTAAAGTTTGATATGGAATGTCATCGCTCATCATCGTTGTCATGTTGTTGCTATATTGTGAGAACGGGTCAAACACATTCATATTCTTTGACAAACGAAAGTTCATGTGTGTATGAAGAGAAGGATCTAAGAAATTTGAATTCCTCCTAAATTCATCAATCTGACCCAATGGGTTTACCAAGTTTGATTGGGTAATATGTTATCACATTTCAAACCTTCCAAATTCCTACAACAAACAGGAAAATGATTTAACACACATTCCTGACATTGGCTAAGACAAATTGTCATCATTGAACAACAAATTGATGCCTTGCCTTCCACACACTTGTCTTTGTGTTAAGGCCTTTGACTTCCCAAGTCAACCCATCACTTCTCACATATATTACTATTGACTAGTTCAAACCGTCTCTCAGTATTTTTTCCCTTCAAGTTGTCGATTCCCCTAATTTTTGTAAGACTTCCGTATAAGTCTTGGCGTTTCTGTAATAGTTTGGTGAGTTGGCGATTGGTATTTTTATACTAAAATATAATGTAGGTTCAGAAAACAAACATAAATGCGATAGAATGTGGAAGATTGGAGGATATGCTTCATTATATTGGTTAAAAATAGTCTCGTATTAATCTATTCCATCTATTTCGTCGTTACTTCACAATTATAACAAAAACATTTATTTATTTAGTTCTTTAATATTATATTGGATTTATGATGTTCAACAATTATGGTGTTTTAAAACCATTATGTCCGTTGAATGGTGACTTGGCATTACTTATTCGAGATTAAACGTGAAGAGCGATCATGGGTGTAGCTTGCACGTATAAATAAAAATGTTTCAAATTAGAGAGGCGGTAATCGATGAATGCGTAAGAATCCAAAAATCAAATAATATAAGCTCAAATAGGCCTGCAGTATTATAATACTCTTATATAATTTTCATGTTATGAATATCAGATGTTTAATTGGATGTAATCAATGTCAATTAACCAATTGTTTGACACTATTGCATTGGCTTGTTTACTTTGGCCAATAGCCACCCAACAAATGTGAATTGAAGCCATCCCAACAATGTTATGCTAATCAATACTTTCAATGTGCCGTACACTACGGATGTTTCTTTGGGTGCTTTATGAGTTTTTTTAGCTAATATATTGATTATAATGATAATTGTACTATCAATGTATTAGAGTATGAACTATCACCCTTTTTTTCCAATGATTAGGTCAAGCTGGGCCATGACCTACATCAAGAAAATTGAAAGTTGGAATAGAAAATTGAGATTAATTTTCCAAATTCAAAATATATTAAACTATCTTCCATTCAAAAGTGTGAAAGTACTCACTAGTTTCATTTTTATAAATATCTACCTCACTCTAATTAGCCAGTTATCTTACATCCCTTCACGTTGCCCAATAGGTGGTTACTCTTCATAGCTTTTCTTCCTGTATTTGTACTACCCTCCATCCTCCTTAAACAACATGCTAGGGAAAAGGATGGTATCATTCAAGAAACTGGCCAAAAAGGTGAAGGGTGTTGGTGGACTTGACCCTGACCCTGCTCATCATGAGGGTTTGCTCAAGAAATATGAAGAAAAATGTGACACTAACACACCCCCAACTGGGTTCTTTGCACTTTATGTTGGAGAAGAGCGTCAAAGATACGTGGTTCCAACCCGCTACCTTTCACACCCCTTATTCAAGATGCTGTTGGAGAAGGCTTACAATGAGTTTGGGTTTTCGCAGAGGAATGGACTAGTGGTTCCATGCTGTGTTTCCACGTTCGAGGAGGTGGTGAATGCTGTAGAATGCAACAACGGAAAGTTTGACTTGGGAAAGTTTTTTGCAGAATTTGTTTGAAGCGCATAAAACACAAGGTCTCTCGTTTTTTTCTTCTAGCTTATGTATCACACACATATGCAGTGCACAACACTCCAAATGGGTAGCTTTAACTCCGCATGAAGTTGTTGTCGCAACATTTTCAGTTAGAATAGATCTGACCTGTAAAATAGTGATTCAGTGAACTTTCAATATTGCGTATCAAACATTATTTGATCTCCTTAAAATTGTATAAACAGTATGGATTTTTGTGTTTGATGGCTATAATTTAATTCGGTCAGAAAGTATTTTGAACTCGAGATTGAAATAGTGGAATAAATAAATAAGTTAAGCTTCCATTTTTGGTTGCCAACCGAGAATTGAGTTGGGGTTTGAGACAGGATCCTATGCTTTCGTATAAACTATGAAGATATTGCTGAGATGCAATTGCAACTTTTGTATATGATTTAATTTGTTCCTTCATTGAAAATTGCGTTCTGGGGAGATTCAGCATGTCAAGTAGAATCTAAACCAAGTGTAAAATTTTGGAGAGAAAACTATATATGATGCAAGCAAGACTTGGTCAATGAAATTATCACCATTAGCTCAGAAATCCACAAAGATTCTTTTCACATGGTCGACAAGTTTATGCATATTCTCTGTTGAATGAAGGGAATGAGTATAAACAAGAAGCATAATCCAACTTTCCATGATGGAAGCACAACCATCATGATCTTCCAATGCAAAATCCTTATGCATTTCATTGAAATCGTCAATGACGGGTTCTAGCTTATAACTGATAATGATGGCGTCAAACCAATATTCTCAAACCAACATCATGAGTACTGAAGATGGCAGAATAATAAATTCCAGAACCAAACAATCCATTAGAAAAAAGCATCTCTTCACATTCTCAGTATACGAGCACCAGTTCATGAAAATTGCAAGTCCATTGTTCAACTTCTGAAGGAAGAAGCACCAAACATTTATCTAACAAAATTGTTTATTAATCCACGTTTTTTGTAAACCAGCCTGCCATAATGTGGAATTAGCAGCAATCAAATTGCACAAAAGGGAATGTCACAATGGTTACTAAAAAAATGAGGCATAATAATCAATTGTTGCCTGGGCATGAACATGATCACAGTTCCAGCTATTTTAATTTGATTTACATCTTCACATGATCTTGCAACAAATGTTTAAATTTTTAATGCATTACGGGATCATAAGAGAAAGAAACATAATAGCAGTGCATCGATCATATCAATTGAACTTAACATTGGTTGCTCAACAAACACATTTGAAGAAGCTGTTGTTATTTATGAGGCACACCACTATGTTCTGTTAAAAACGCTTCATACTTTCTGTTTTACCAGTGCAGAAGCCAATTCCTAATAAAGAACAATTACCACTGATAATAGTAATACTTAGCTGCATTTTTCACACAATCACGTGTATGAATTATCACTTGTATTTTTAATAACCTTTGCCTTTTTAATTTTGTATTTTGTCTCACAATAATGTTTCCAACTTCATTTTTTTTTTAGGTGAGTTGTGTATTCATTTCATTAACGTTTACGTTAATATGGTTAATAACATGTCATTAATAATGTGGTCATGTTAGTATTTTATTGTTTTTTTTTATATATAATTTAACAACATTAATAAAGAGATAATATTTATTCATCAAAAATAAAATAAAATTAATACTAAAATTCACATTAGGATAAGATTAAAGAAATAAGGATTTAACCTTAAAAACGTATAAATTTTTAATTTTAATATTTTTAATGACACTTTTATAAATATATTTTCCCTAACCTTAATTTTGATATATATTGGTCGTTAATTGAAATATTTTTGGAAAATGATTTCAAGAATATAATTTAAATTATTTCAGAAATATAAATTTTATTATGTGATATTTTAAAATTATAGTTTAAAATAAATTTTATAATTTTATTTTTTTTTAATATATTTTAGATGGCTAAATTTTCTAAAGGTTATTTTCAATATTTTACTATAAAGGAGAGGTGAGGAAGAAATTATAGGGGGTGCATAAAGTTAAAAAAGCATTGGGTTGATTGTTAGGGTAGTCCAATTGAGTCGAATTATCATACAAAGAAACGACAATATAAAATTAGAATGACAGGGGCAAAACAGTAAAAGTCTGCCAGATGGGAACACCGTTTGATCATGAGCCCCGAACGCTGAGCCGTAGATATATATCGAAGGTGAAAAAGCGTAAGAGCGGAATTCAAAAATTCAAATCCCAAACGCACCACCCATAGCCCCCGCTCTCACACCCCTTCACACACACACGCACGCATATACACACAGAGAAAGAGAAGAAGGCACTTTCAGAAGCGGATCCGTGACCGAAAATGTCTGTGCGCCACGAGAAAGAGAAGGGCGTCAACGTTCAGGTCCTCCTCCGTTGCAGGTATTTCGTTTCCGTTTCCATTTCCCTTCGTTAATTTCCCGGTCTGCAACTCCAACTCCTACCCCTTAATTTGATTTGTGCAGGCCGTTCAGCGACGAAGAGTTACGGAGCAACGCGCCGCAAGTCGTGACTTGCAATGAGTACAATCGAGAAGTCGCCGTCTCTCAGAGCATCGCCGGCAAGCACATCGATAGGGTTTTTACCTTCGATAAGGTCATCCTCACTCTTATCTGTGCTATGTTATAACCACTCTTTGACAAGTTAATAGTAGGTTGCTAAGTAGGTTTTAAGGGGATTACAAATATGAAATACGCTCATTTTGTTTTGCGTAGGTTTTTGGTCCTTCTGCTAGGCAAAAGGACCTTTATGAACAAGCTGTTACTCCGATAGTTAATGAAGTTCTTGAGGGATTTAATTGCACTATTTTTGCGTATGGTCAAACTGGTACTGGGAAAACCTACACTATGGAAGGGGAATGCAAAAGGGCTAAGGTATGCTCTGATGTTATGAGGTGTTTTGATGTTATGTGCACGCATGTTAATGAATAATGTTAGTGATTTGACTATTCTACAACAGAGTGGTCCCAATGGAGAGTTGCCTCCAGAAGCTGGAGTCATTCCTAGGGCTGTCAAGCAGATTTTTGACACACTTGAGAGCCAGAATGCTGAGTATAGTGTGAAGGTCACCTTTTTGGAACTGTATAATGAAGAGATCACTGATTTGCTTGCCCCGGAGGAGATCTCTAAGGTTTCTTTGGAGGAGAAGCAGAAAAAACAGCTGCCTCTAATGGAGGATGGTAAAGGTGGAGTTCTTGTAAGGGGATTGGAGGAAGAGATTGTCACAAGTGCTAGTGAGATTTTTACTCTTCTGGAGAGAGGGTCTTCTAAACGACGGACTGCGGAAACTTTGTTGAACAAGCAGTCAAGGTGACTGTTGTTTTCTATTTCCTTAATACACATGTAGTGTAATCATATTTTCATCTCGTACTAACTCGTACTAAGGCATTTTTTTTTATCTTCAGTCGGTCACATTCGTTGTTTTCAATTACAATCCACATCAAGGAAGCAACCCCAGAAGGAGAAGAATTAATTAAATGTGGTAAACTTAATTTGGTGGATCTAGCTGGATCAGAAAATATATCTCGTTCAGGGGCCAGGGAGGTAATGCATCATGTGCATACCCTTTGTTCAGCGTTCTATTCGTTCCGGCTTTTTCAGAATACATATTTGAACTAGTAAGTTTATTTTTGTATTGGATAATTTGTTAGGGTCGTGCAAGGGAAGCTGGGGAAATTAACAAAAGTTTGCTTACTTTAGGGCGAGTAATCAATGCATTGGTGGAACACCTTGGTCACATCCCTTACAGGTTTTTTATTTTTGAGCCTTTGACGCTACTTTATTATATTGAGTCTCTGACATTATCGTTTTCTCTGTGTGCTCACATGGGTAAGTTGGCATATAGGGATAGTAAGTTAACGCGTTTACTGCGTGATTCGCTTGGAGGAAGAACCAAGACATGCATCATAGCAACAGTGTCTCCTGCAGTTCATTGTTTAGAGGAAACGTTAAGTACGCTGGATTATGCACACAGGGCAAAGCACATAAAAAATAAGCCTGAGGTTTGTTAGTGATTGACATGATGGTTGAAAATTTTTATGATACTATGCATCTTTAGTGATATTGTCTTTGAAAAATTCAATGCCAATATGTCACAAGGATACTACTTCTGCAAAGATTTTTGAAGAATTTGACTGCATTTGTGTAATTACTAATTACTTAATGTATCAAAATTATGAGCATTGGTTGTTTAAATTCATTTTGTTCAAGGATGAACTGAGTGTTTTTTCTAGACATTTTCATTTTAAGAAAGGACCTGTTTTGATTTATTTAGCTCTAGTTTTGCTCTTTTAATCTAGAGAAGATATGCAGGATGAGATGTTTTTCATTTTGCTATGATATAATAAATTGCGATGCCTTACGCATTGTTTCTTTAACCTTTTCCTTTTCTGATATTTTTTAGGTTAACCAAAAAATGATGAAATCAACACTTATCAAAGATCTTTATGGTGAAATTGAACGCCTTAAGGCAGGTGAGTGGTGATGTTGATTAGAGTTTGCGGAAGCATATCTTGGGTTCTTTAGGTTTCTTGGTGTATTGTCTTATTGTTGGTATAAATCATTTAATTCGTGACTTTCACCAGAGGTTTATGCTACACGGGAGAAAAACGGAGTCTATATTCCAAAGGAAAGATACTATCAGGAGGAAAGTGAGAAGAAGGTTACTTTCCTCTCTCTTCCTTGTAGTCTGTTATCTTTTATTAATATGTGCGTATCAGTAAGAAAAGTACTATCGTTCCAAGCAATTTTCAGCTGCTCAGATCGTTGGATAATTTTATTTAGTGCCTTGGACGTGTTTTCTAGCACGTGCTTTAATATTATTCATGGGTAGATATAAATTGGTTTGATGTTTATTTTCATGATCTGGTTATTAAAATCACTTCTAAAGTCCTTCATTGATGCATTCTTTTCTTATGTTTAGGCTATGTCAGATCAAATTGAGCAGATGGGTGTCACAATAGAAACGCAACAAAAGGTTGGGTTTTATTAAACAAGCTATTTATGTATAGAAGATGGGGCGTGCCTGCTTGTTCCTTCCTGTTATGCTTGACTTGTTTTCAATGTTTCAACCAGCAACTTGAAGATTTGCAAAACAAATATGATGACCAAATTCGACAGTGTTCCAATTTGAGCAACAAACTTGATAGTACTGAAGTGAGTTAACAAATTTTTTGTTCATTCTTGTTATGAAATTTTATCTGCTTGCTTATAAGGAAATTGTGATAAACGACAGAAAAACTTGAACAAGACTAGCAAGTTGCTGGCCAACACACAGGAAGAATTAAAGAAATGTCAGTATACACTGAAAGAAAAAGACTTCATTATTTCCGAGCAGAGAAAAGCAGGTATGTCGCATACATAATCTCATGTTCCATCATTGTTTCTTGTTTAGTCGGTCTTTGAGATAACGTTAATATGTGACAGAAAATGCTCTGGCTCATCAAGCATGTGTTTTACGAAGTGATTTGGAGAAATCTCTTAAAGATAATGCTTCATTATTTTTGAAAATTGGTATGTCTATTCTTTGCTCTGTTTTTTTTTTACTAAGTATCGAAGTTGTGTATTTTAACTTGTTTATCTATCTGGTAATTTATAGGTAGAGAAGATAGGTTGAACTCCGATAACAGAGCTGTAGTAAACAATTACCAGGCGGAGCTCGCTCAGCAGGTTGGTTCTCTTTGCAACACTGTTGCAACATCATTGTCTGCACAGAATGAACATCTAGAAGGTGTGAAGAAGCTCTGTCATTCTTTTTTGGAAGTTCATGATAAGGTGTGTTCATAAAAATTCCAATATTGTTTTTCTTGTCTGTGACTTTCTTACATGCTCTCATCCATTTTATTGAAATCCATGTTTTCCCCATATTTGTACGTATCTTGTTATATTTTATTTCTAAATTCTCTCGTTTCTCTTTTTGTTTTCTGTAGGCCGTTGGTGATTTTAAAATGAAAGTGACATCTCTGAGGGCCTTGTATATATCTCATATCGAGGCAGTACAAAATGTTGTGCGCTTGCATCAGGCGAGCTCCGATGCTACCTTGGAGGAACTTACATCTTTTATATCCTCCAATGGTGATTCAATTGAAAAAGTATGTTTCAATCGTTTCAACTTAATATCTAATGTTGTACACTTTTTTTAAAAAGCTTTTCTATACTAATATAAGACTTTTATTAATGATGAATCAGTTTCTTGCATCTGAGGCTACCGAAGCTAGTTCAATATTTGATGATCTTCAGGGTACCCTTTCAACTCAGCAGGGTGAATTGGCACTTTTTGCAAGCGAGTTACGCAAAGTATGTGCTTGAAGTTTTCCTTCTGTTTATAGTTTTTAACAAATGTGTCACATGTTATGCTTTTATTTCTGTTACAGAACCCTTATATATCTCATCTTTTTTTGTTCAGACTGATGTTTTTTATTTTCTTCTGACTGTTCTATTGTTGTGTGTTGTAAATCAAAGAGATTCAATCTCAGCCTTGAACAAATAAAGGATATCTCTGAGCGCTCTCAAGAATTTGTGGATAAGCTTTTTGAAGAATCGAAAAAGCTTGGAGACTATGCTTCACAGGCTGACCAAGTTCAAATGAAGAGCATTGATGAGTTTAAAAAAGCATACGAGGTTGTAACGTAGTATTAACAAGTATTTTTTGAAACATGATTATGGTTGTTGACATCTTATTCTATTCGGTACAGGAGCAATCAAAATCTGATACAGAGAAACTTATTGCTAATATGACTAGTTTAGTTTCTGATCACATTCGGCGACAAATGGATCTGGTCAGTTTTGGGTGTCCCTATTGTACGGGTCGTGATTTGGGGGGGGGGGGTAAATTGTGTGTTCCTATCCAATTAATTTGTCGTTTCTATAGAAAAGAAATGATGTTCGGTCTTGCAGGTAGACTCAAAGCTCGTTGATCTAAGAGAAAGCGGAATGAAGAACAAGTCCTTCTTGGATGGACATTTGTTATCAATGGGAGATATTGTGACCAATGCAAAAAGGAAATGGCAGGCCTTTTGCATGCAAGCAGAAAAAGATGTGAAAGACACTTCGGATTATTCTGCCTCTAAACATTGTCGTATGGAGGTACTCATGCAGCAGAGGTAAGTGTATTTTTCCCCAAATTTTCTTGATCCGTATACACTCACTTAGAGTCTAACACTCTTTTTTAAATCCCTAGTTTTAAGACTGCTAAGTCGGCTTTTGAACATACAAAGAGGACACATGAGGCTGTGAATGTGATGGGGGAAAAGCATAGTGCTGCAACAGAATTAATTGTCAGGTGCGTGGCAAACTAATTGAAATTAGAGTCAAATGAAGCTGTGACACCTTTGTTACAATGACTGAAACACATCTTAAGAGTGAGCCGACACAACTAATCACTTTGTTAACAATGCTATCATAAAAAATGAGAAAAAGTTGAAAGAAAATAACATTATAAACTCCGAGGCTTATACCATTTTTTTAATGTTTATTTAATTTATTAAGAAATATGTTTCTTAAAATTTTATTTTGAGATCATTATCATAGTAAAACTTTTTAGTTTTTAATTATCTATTGCGATTTTTGTTTAATCATTATATTGTCACTATGCCCTATATTTTGGACATTAATTTAATAGTGTCCCGCTCTCTGTGTCGTGTCGGAGTCGTCGATGCTTCATAGAATGAGTCTGTCTTTGCAGCCGACCTCTATGTCGGAATGCTGCACTAATATCGTTATTGCCTCCATTTCTCTTGGCCCATTTTATTGTTTTGATGCCTCATGACTAGGTTCCATGCGATGTGATATAGTATTACGATTATTTTGGCTCAGGAATGCTACTGATAGCAATATGCAACATGTCGTTGAGGTCAATTCTGCACGAGTTGCAGCAGAGGAAGAAGTGGCAAAGAATAGTGAGGATCTTATTGAGCAGTTTGATGGTAAGTTTGGAGTGGGATCATGGTTCTCTGATTAACATTCAGCAACTTTGCGTCTGAAGCTTAGGTTGTCTGATCATGATACTCTCAAGTGAATGCAAATACCTTTAGCTAAAACAGGGAATGCATCAACATCTTACCCTTTTTGTCATAGTGTATTTGTATATATAATCCATTTATCTTTGTTTTTTCTCTTGGGTGACATTGTTTGCAGTCATTTCTGCACAAGAGCGGGAGTCCATATCTGGCGTATTAAATGTGGTGAGAACTCATGCAAATACACTTGAGACGCTACGAGAAGATCACGATGGCCAAGCTGCTTCGATTGAACACAGAGCTAGTGAAACTTTTCAACAGCAATACAGGGTATGTTGACTCGGTTTCTACTTTGTTTTCGCAGGTTCAAATATAATCATTGTTTAACATTTAGCATTTGATGCAATGTGTGGGATTGCAGGACTATGATATTACCGGTACAACACCAATAAGATGTGAACCTGATGTTCCAACAAAGGGGACAATAGAGTCTCTTCGATCCTTGCCAATGGAATCCCTTCTTGAGGAATTCCGAGAAAACAATCCATATGAATCTTCTGAAGTAAAGGAGTTGAAACCATCTCTTATTCCACGTTCGCCTCTTACTCAGCTGAACTAATGGTGGTTTTAACTTGCTCGTTTGGGTCCTTTATTGTGACATTTGTATTGCTATTGTAACATCACATTGCTTTTGTTGCCCATTAATTGTTCCAAGAATGCATCCTTGGCAAATAGGATTGTAATGTGATATTTAGAGCAATGTACACTGTAAATCCCATCTTGGGATGAAGTATAGGTTAAAATAATGTGTAATTTTAAGTAAGGCTCTCACTTGTGGCTAAGTTTTTTATTCATGTCATTTTTTGGCTGTTGGCCATCTTCATTCTCTATTGTAAGGATGAGCATTGTTGCTTTTTCTGTTGTTTGTGTGTGCAGTCAGTGGAACGTCAAAAATGTTTCCTCGCTGCTTGAAATTGATTTTCTTTTTGTTATTGTAATCAAGCTTGTTTATTTATTTGTTCTACTAATGGGGCAACTTGTCATTTTAAAGTATAACATATTAGTATATAATTAAGTTTTATTTTTAGTTTTAAACATAGTTAATGGTCATTTTCTAATATTAAATTAAAAAATACTTATTTAATATCTTCAATTTAAAAATTATTTTAGCTGAAAAAAAAAACTAAAATGACTATGAAAAAAATACATTGACAATTGAAAAATAATTTTGGCAATTTCAAGATAATATTGTATAATTATCATGGAGATGCAAGTTTCATTAATAAAAATATAAAACATATTTTATTATTTCAATAAAATAGTTGTTAATCAAGCTTTATTAAAATTTAATAATTAAAGACTACTTTTAAAAGTAATAAATAAACAAATACTTTAATATATAAAACATGTTATATATAGGAATAATTATTCAAAAGTAAAATTTGTATATTTTATAAGATATAATTACTTGTACAGTATATCTCATTTTTTATTTATTTACAAAGTTAAATTAATATTTGTATTTAGACAGATTATATATATAAAGTAGTTTAAGTTTTGTTTAGAATTTATACATGTGTCTGGTAACTATTATACAGTATTATTGACATTATTATTAAATTTGAAATTACCATGGGTGACAAAAAAAAATGGAAAAAGGAAAGTATAAATTTTGAGTGAAAAGTAAGAACACACCCAACTCCGGGTGTGTAGTGTGGGTGTCAAATAAAATATTTTTTATTAAAATAAATTTGTATATCTTTAATATAAAATACGTATTTAATAGTATAACCCATTTACTAATTCAATTCATAGGCCATTTGTATAGAATTTTGACCGAGTCACTCACTGATCTCATTCTCATAACAACACTAATTATGAGATCCAGAGACATTTAAAAAAAAAAAAACACAACTTAATAGTCTTTTTCTCTTTTTTTTTTTCTTTAAAAAAGAGGGTTCAATAGTCAGTGTATGATTGAGCACTTCATTAAATCATTGAAATAGATTTAAATGCTAAACGACAAATACAAATTTAAATTGAAGGCAACAACAAAGGAATTCCATTCACTTTCTTGTTTTTCAGTTTTTCTTATTTAGTTTTATTTTTTAGTTTTTAAAAATATTTTTAAAATTAAATCAAAAAATATATTTGACACTTTTATTTAAAAATATTTAAGGAAAATAATATTAATTACAATAAAATTACTAAAAAGTTAATAAATAATTTTAATAATTTCATAATAATAAAAAACAGATAATATAATATACTTATAGATTAAAACATTATATCATTGATTAAAAAATATAAAACTAAAATAAAAATCAGTTTTAAAAAATATTATAATAAATATTTGTTAAACAACTTTTATATTTTTTAAAATTAAAAAATATAAAAGTATTTTAAAAATTAATAAATAAATAAGTTGTTAATTTTTTATTAGATTTTTTTTCATCATTTATTTTAAAAAATATACAACTATATGTAATAATTTTTTAAAAAAATTTTACGCAAACCAAAAGTTATAATTAAATTTCAAACTAGGTCTATTTTACTCTTATTTTTTTTACAACTAATTTGAAAATATACTTTTTTATTTATTTATAGCTTTAACTGATAAATGATACTTAATTGAAGGGTTTGTAATCAAATTTAACAAAACTTAAGACAGAATTTGAAAAATTTGAAAGGATTAAATGCCAAGGAGTCAAAGCTCAAATTGAATTATATTGATATTTTTGTAAGTTACTAGACATGTTAATAAAGATGTGACGTTTAAAATGTGACGGTAAAATTATATATAATATATATATATATATATATATATATATATATATATATATATTAAATTCAATAATTAGTACATAACCTAATATTTATATCTTACAAATAATTAAAAGGCTATAATATTTTATATATAATTTAAAGTGGTATTGACCTTTTTATTATTTATTATTGGTATAACTTAACTAAATTTTATTTTGAACACTTTTCTTTATTAACTCAAATATAATTTGGAGAAAAAGTTTTAAAATTCAATTAAATAACAATAATAATAAATATACGAAATTCACAATAAATATTATTTAATTATAATTAGAAATGTTAAAATATGAAGTTCAATAAAATAAGTTAAGGTAAAAAATAGTTATGATGTAAAATAAATTAGATGTTCTTTGAACCGACTTATTTAGGTTAGAATAATTTGGACGTTATCTATTTTATAAAATAATAATTATTTTTAAATAAAAAATAATATTATTTTATTTAAAATATATATGTATTATAAATTAATTTAATAAAAAATTATTATTTTAAAAATAAATATAAAATTAATTTTTTAATACATATCTATTATTGTAGTTAAAAATTTATTATTATAAATTAATGAACTATTGAAAATAATATGATAATAAAGAGTAAAATTTTTATTTTTATTTTTAGATTAAATAATTTTTTTTATAGTTTATATATTAAATTATTATATTTAAAATAAAAATTAATTTTATTAATATATATATATATATATATAAATATTTTTAATTAATTATTTTAATATAAATATGTTTATATTTTTAATTAAGTTAAAATTAACTTAATATAGGATAATTAAGTAAAACAAAATATGATTCATTTAAAATATAGACTAAATTATTAAAATTTTTATTTTAGCCATAGAAATAAATTAGACTGAATCCAACAGTCCATATTAGGCGTCCTACTTCTAATAATTCTGTGGCCATAAACATGTATTAAAAAGTTGCCTACAAATAATTCATTGTATGTACGTAGAGTAGTCTTTACGAACACGACGTTGATTTTGGAATACAACTTTTATATATTCCTATGATAAACAACTTGCATAACCATGTTTTGACAAAATTTGGGTCATGTATATATATGATACATATTTAAATGTATTAGGGTCATTATTTATTAAGTTAAATAATAAAGTGATCTAACTAAATTAAAAAGGTTTGGCTAAAAGCATATGTCATGAAAATAAAATTGTGTAGAGACCATAGAACAATTTCTAATTTGATGAGGAGCCAAATTGGAAATACTAAAACTTAAGTAATTAACCTAATTTTGGTTATTTTAAGGGGGTCATGGTCCCCTTCTGAGAGCACGTAGACAGAACGTAGTTACAATCTCGTTCTTTTCTTTCTATCCCCATCAAGAGAGAAAATCAAGAGGAAAATACAAGTGCTCTGTAGGTGGAAGACCATAAGATCAATAGTGCTCTAAAAGGGACATCATCATTATGGCTAATTCAGGTACGCTTTCGCATTTAGTTTACAACATGTTTATGAGTATGAGATTACTTTATATTTGATCGTTAAATTGAAGATCATATTTAATTATCAGTTTACCTAACATTTGGTATCAGAGCAACCCATACTTGATTCATGTTTATATTTGGAAATTACATCTAACAAAATTCAGATTCTGTTTAATTAAGAACCCTAAGTCGAGAATAATCTCCTCCCATTTTTTTTAAACCCTAAATTTAAATTTGGGAGTAAATTCCCAAATTTTAAACCTAATTTTAAATTTAGGGTAAAACCACCGTTTTGCTCCATCACACGAGTTCATTCGAGTTACATAATCTCCTTGATAAGAAAGCTTCTACCGTTGGAATCTGTTTTTCGAAGTAGCTTTGGTGAAGTTGCTTCTGAAAACCCTAATCGAGGAGAAAAAGAAGGAGATGCGCCCTCTGCGTCTGCTTCCCACGATGAAAATGTTAAATCGTTCAGGAATAAATCTCAGAATATGGATGTTGATGTTTCTTCTGAAATCCCATTTTCGAGCTTTGCTTCCCAATGGGTGTACCCAATGTGAATTGGCCATGAAACCTATCTAGGCAGCAGAGGAAGCTTCGGCACCGGTGCTGACTCGGAGTTGATCGAGGCACTGCCGAAACTGGTAATCGTGTCGTCTTCGTAGTGGGGAAAAGAGGAATTGGAGGAAGCCACATGACGCGGCTCTGGTGTGGCTGGGGAAGGGAATAACTGTGTTTAGAAGCACAGTGAGGTTGATTTACAGTGGCGATTAGGGAAGCGCAACCAAGACCATGGTGGTCGGGTTAGGTCTCGCGGCTCCAGGTAAAGAAGAGGTGGTGAAGGACCAGATAGTGGTCGTAGGGCTGTTTCTCCTCTGCCGCGATTCTTTTTCCCCTTCTGTGAATGCAGCTCATGTGATTTGGAAATCAGTAAGAGAATAAGGTCTTCCTCTGTATTCAAAGGAGTTTGCGTCCACGCTTTGAATTCTTTGTTTTCTCTTTGCTTGCTGCTCTTGAAATTCTGGGTTTGTGGCATTTGGGTCCGATCCTTCTGAAACTTGGTTTGGGTTGTTAGATCTCGCATTGTGTAATTTGATTTTGTTTGAATCGTAATACTTGTTCATCGTTCTCGTTGGATTTGCAAAGATCTAAGGTTAAGGTTTTCTCAAATTGGGGCTTTTGATGTTTTGCTGAATTTCTTTGGGGAAGTTTCAATTCGATGAGCAATTAGGATTATCCTGTTTGATTCAGCCGTTTGCATTAATTTGAAGGAGACTATTTTAAGGTAAGCATGCTGGAAATTCTTTTAGAAATGGACCCCACCGATGAAATGATGG